GGGTCGCCGTTGATTCCCACGTCTCGCAGAAGACGTCTCATCAGGTCCGCTCCGGCGCCTTGTTCTCCAATAACCTTGACGAGCAGCAAAAGGGCCTTAAGCGCCGTTCCCACCAAGGGGGCAACTACAATCGTGCAGAGCGCCGAGATCAGTGCGTCATTGACCAGTCGCTGCGCGTGACCGGGGATCACCTTGGCCAGAATGATCAATGCGGGGGCTAAAAGATGGAAATCTTCAGGGGTGATAAGTGGAAGCAAGGAATTCTCCAGGTCCTGCATCGTCTTCTCGTCGTAGTGGGCTCTGGTGTTAGGGTTCATGGCCAGGCTTCGGAGTGCCTCTAAGCAGGAGCTACGCAGGGTACGATCGGACTTCCTAAGCTGAGCTCCCAACTCGGACGTAACCTCACTGATCCACGCCGGAGTGACATCGCGTTCACTGCTGGCAAGGACGGCGATGTCGTCAATTGCGCGGGCAGTGGCAAGTCGGGTGGTCTCATTCTTGAGTCGGTCTACCAGGATATTAAGACCCTTCGACCGTCGATCAGGCGAGACGAATTTGGTCCCGGCATCGCAAGATGTACGCGCCAACAGCACACCTAAAACGTGGATGGCGCGTTGGCGCACTTCCAGATCGGCACTTGTATCGGTGATGCGGTTCACAATCACATCGTAGAGCTTCTCCAATTGGAGTCCTAAATTATCTGGCTCATTTGCGGAGACGCGAGGTGGCGTGAGAGCCTTGACAATGTGCTCAATGGCCCCCAAGGCCTCACTGGCGACCTTGTAGTTCCGATCGTTGACCGAGGCGACAACCCCGGGGATCAAGGCAATGAGGAATGGCAAAAGCGCATTCGACGTGTGAGTCTCAGCAATTGCGCCGATCAGACTGAGCGTCTCGATCTGCAAGTTTCCGGCGGTTCCTGCTGTGACTGTGCCTCCGAGAGATGAGGTCTTCAGCGCGTCGGCAATCGGGTCCTCAATCTGCTGTAGGAAGTCTGACAGACCGCCATAGCGGGCCAAGGCGAGGCTCTTCAGCAACACCACCGCGGCTTGCTTTAGCGGCACAGAAGCGCGCTTCCACATCTTGACCAAGCTTTGTATAATGGCCGGGATCAGGCGTGTCAGCTCAGCTTGGGGCCCGGATTCGGGAGAAGCGGGGGTAACGACTGGCGAACTGATGGCCGATGAGGTTCCCATGCTAGGTTCAAAGTCGAGGGTGCTGGCGAAGCTGTCTTGACGCCTCCTCTTCCGAGAGTTCTTGGTCCCTCCCACGGACTCAGTGAAGCCGTTGGACGGGACGACTGTGGTGCCCTCACTGGTCTTCCGGACCAGGGCTGTGAGGGTCACGATCACCTCGAGCTTCACACTCTCTTCTCTCTCCTTTCCGAAGCGCGAGATCAACGCCGGTGCCACTTGCTGATACAGCATGCCGTCTTCCAACAGACGACCACCGGCATAGGTGGACACGACGGTGTGCAGCATTTTGGCAGCGCAGCGTCGCACTTTCCAGCTGATATCATCAATGTCGCTGTAGCCTCCTTCTTCCTCGAAGTCACCGAATTCGTCATCCCCCTCGTCGGGCTCCTCAGTGGCCCCGTCTTCGCTACCTTCTTCCTGGGTCCCTCCCATTTCCTCGTCCTCTTCAATCGCCACATTGGGGTCATACTTAAGATAGCGCAGCGCTGCATGGATCGAGTCCGCCAAATATGGCTGCATCTCATGGCTGCAGGAGGCCAGTAGACCTTCCAACGTCACCAATGCCGTCTCCCGGAGTTCGTCCACCTGGGGATCATGCTCTGCATCAGAGTCCTCTGGGTTTATGTCCTCCAGTTCCTGCTCACTGACGGCTGAGAGCACAAACGGGATCAGCGTCTTGAGATAGGTGCCAGATTTAGCGGGAGCCGACCTGGCCAGGCTGCCCACCGTAGCGATGAGATGACGGCGTTTATTGACAGTCAGATTCGGGGACTGAAAACTCTCGACGAGCCCCGACACAAACGCGCCGAGCTGGGCGTCCGAAAAATGGACTACAAGAGCGGAAATAGCTGCCAGGGCCCGTTTTGTGACGACTGTGCCGGCCGTGTCGTTCTCGATTATCGACATGACCGACTGTTGCAGGGCAGCCACCTCGGCCTCATTCAGTAGCGGGCCAAAGCAATTGACCACTTCAATCACGACATCGATGGCGTCGCTGCTGAAACCTTTGGACGGGTCCTTCTCCAACATGCCCTTGACTTCAGATCCTCTCCGGGATGTAGTCTGGCCTGTTAGACGCGGAATGAGGACTCGCGAGATGGCCGCATATGCCGAGGACACCTCCGGGGTCGGGGGAATTCCTGGTTGAGGACATGGAAGCGAGGTGACAATGACGCGCAACGCCGTGTTTGGCACAGAGGTATCGATGGATTGCGAAGTGGTCAAGTTGGAGAGCCGTTCGATGAGGGGGGCCAAGCTCTCTACCGGCAATCGCACCACGAGCGGACCGAGACTGTAATTTGGACAACCGGTAGATTAGATATATCCAAACAGAGGACTAGTCAGAGGTTCGATTACCATTTCAAGGCCTGGTTCTGCACCTCGCCATGCTGATCGTCCAGAGTCTTGAGCAGGCCGTCTGCCAGTCTGGCGGAGGTGGTGGTATCGTGGGAGAGAAAGGCAGAGTTGGGACTGCTGAGGATGCCCAGGAGATCATTGAGGGACATGTACCGGATATCAGGATCGGGATCATCGAGCTTCACCAACAGTCCATTCAGACTGTGGAGGGTTGACTGTCGGTCCACCATGGTGCACTGCGGACCCCCGCGCGAGCGGGCTGAAGACTAGCAACAGATCTCGGCGATACAGATATGGTTGATATAGATTCGAGTGCCAGATAGAACAGAAGTGGGGTTCTCCCAAGCAAGCAAATGAGGGAGAGAGGGAGGGAGTGAATGAGCTACCTAATGTATGAGGAGGGGAGGAAGCGGTGCTTGTTTCCATCAGCTGGAGATAAAACGTGGGGCAAGTCTGGATGCCGCTAAGGGCCGCCGCAATCGCAGGTGACTTGACTGTTGGCTGGCCCGACTATCAGGAAGAACATTCAAAGGTTGTCTACTTGCTCTGTTTACAGGATAAAAGCAATTTCCTCTGAATGAAGTTGCTCATTGGATTTAATTCAGGTCACTTTTTCATGGTTAAGCATCTGTGCTGGTGCATCATCCACTGGTTGATGTAGCTGTCTAGTAATCCATAGACTGGTATAAGGTTCTCCAGGTGTGTGCAGTCAGTAGTGTACAGGCATAGTATTCTTTCTTTGGCTTGATTTTCCTCCAATTTTCTTTAATTTGGTTGTACCTCCAGAAACATACCTCGTGGGCGATGATGACATGACGGCAGGGACCTAGGGATGGAAGAGCAGTAAGACAAGTTACTTGACTGGGATTACGCTGTCATGGCAACATCACCACTGCTCGAGTCTTGCGGGAGAGCTATTAGCTAAGAGCTTAAAGACAGGTACCAGCTAAGCTACCTAGGTAACTCGCATGCCCGGAGACCGGGCGGTTCTATCAGCTCATCTCACCTGATTGAGCCTTTTTGTCCGCGCAGCTCCGACTCCGGCATTATCCTCTCCGTCTTTCTCTCTCCTTCCATCCTCAATTCCTTCCAATCCCTCCCTACCCAGGCAGTCAATTGCTTGCCATTGACTTCGATCTTCAACCCGCAGTCATGGTCCTCCCACGCACCCCCGCACTCCGCACCCTCATTGCCTCCCAGGCCCGTGCTGGGGCCCGCGCTGCCGGCCGGCACCAGCGGCTGCTGGCCGCTCGCCGCTTCTACGCCAACCAGGGTGGCCAAGGGGCGCCCCAGAAGAAGAGTGATCTCCCATGGTGAGTGGAAGCCTTCGTGATCTCTTCTGGTCATTCATTCCTTGTATGTATGGTACAATGCTGACAGGCGCTTCGCAACAGGCTGGTCACCTCAGTCGCCGTCACCGTCCCGGCCGCAATGTACCTGTACAACTCCGGCCCGTCCGAGACTGAGCATGGAGTTGGCCCCGAGAGACCGGTGGTGAAGGGGGACGACGGACATAGGCCTCACAAGGAGCCTGAACCTGCTCCTGCTGCCGAGGTAGAAGAGCAGAAGCCCGAGGAAGAGAAGCCTGCAGAGGAGCAGCCGGCGGAGGAGAAGGAGGAGGCTGCACCACCTGCGAAGGAGGAGGAAGGGGACAACAAGCCGTCTGAACGGGACCCAGTGAGTTCAGGTCGTCTTCTATCCCCCTCTGTAGTGAAAACAAAAAAAAAAGCAAAACAAACATGGAAGTTGGAAAGCTAACATTCTCTCCAGCCGAAGGCGTTCAAGGGCAGTGAAAGCCCCACAGCGAAGTCAGGCGCGATGTCGTCCAAGCAACACGGCGTGTCAAACACCGAAACCAAGCACCCATGGCTAGAAACGCCAGGGAAGAGTGAGAAGGCCGAGGGTTTTACCGAAACCGCCAAGCTTCAGGGAACGCTCTCTCCCAAGCGGCCCAAGGAGGAGGATGATTAGATATCACAGGCTGTTCACGCATGTAATGTAGCATATGAAATATGAACTTTTTTTTTCTTGTCTTGTCTCTCCGATTGATTGAAGCAGAACATATCAAGATATATATAAAAAGAATAATAGGGGGACACCCATTGACTAAGAGAAGGTGGTAGGGAGGTAGCTGGTGAGTACTAATTGCCTTGCCTGCATGCTTCCTCTACGGGTGAGATCACTTTGTTCCTATACCAGAAAGGAGTTACCAAGTTTGAAAAAAAAAAGGCCGGGTCAAAGATATTGATACGTGGCTAAAACAATATATCATCATAAATATAAACAATAAACAAGTGTAATGACGGATATATATTGGTAAATTGCTTGGTAAATAACAATTAGTTACAGGTTATATATCACAATATATCAGAAAATCAGATAGAGAAAGAGAATAGAAAGGAAGGCAAATGTCAGCTGGTTGCCGCCATAGCCAGAAGCCATCATTGCTCCTGCTGCGCCAGGGTTAGCGGCGCTTTTACTCGTGGTGGATGCGGACGCGGAACCAGTGGCTGTCCCCGTGGCGCTGCTGCTGCTGTTCTTGCTCACCAACCCGGTCGGCCACGAAGTCACCATCGCAGCTTTGTAGGTTCCTTTCAGCGTGGTCGTCGCGCACGAAGACGGGACGCTGTTCGCCTGTGATGCTCCCCAGCTCGGCCCCATGGTGCCGTTGCGACGGCTGGCCGCCGTCAAGAAGGCAGCGTAGGACCATGTGAGGTCGATGGCGGACGTCTGGCTGCCGTTGACTTCGGAGAATTGCTCTGAGAGGGCCCCGTTGTCTGGCGTGTATTTCTGCACGATGCTGACGAAGCCGTCTGCATAGGTCTTGATCGCCTTCGTCAGCGAGGCGTAGGTGTCGGAGGAAGACGGGTACGTCCCGGTGTTGACGGAGGAGTCAAAGTCGCGGAAGAAATCCAGAGAGATGGATGTGATGTTCAGCGAGCCCTGTTTCTGCCACTGATAGAGGGCATCGTAGAGCTGTTCGGCTGCCGCCAGTGTGCACAGGTACCTAGACCATAGATCAGCGTTGTTTCCAGGTTCATCGAAGTAGATAAAAAGTAGATTCGGTAAAAAAAAAAGGTTTGAAAAACAGCAAAGGAAGCTCCCTACCATGGATTCCCGTCGTAGTATATATCCTCCGCATACCGTCCGATTGCCACTGCGGATCCCTTCTTAATGCCATCGTTGACAGAATAGAGGTTTCTGAACGAGTCCACGACAGCTTTGTGGTTCGCCAGCGCGTATGACGAGCAGGGCTGGAATGTTGAATCGTCACATGCGGCCTCCGGGTCAAAGACGTGGATCGAGGCCAGAATGGAGTTGGCGTCTTTGCCAGTCCGGTTGACGTCGTGCACCAGATTGATATTCGAGTCGATGTAGCTCCCTGTCCAGAAGGACTGCTGGAAGCACAGGATCTGGGAGGCTACCGAACTGTAGTCGCCAACAGTCTGGTTGAGGCGCTTCGCCAGCGCAGCTCCCTCGACGAGGGCCCGGTGAGAGACGGCAATGGTGAAGAACGACGAACCGTCGACCTCTTCCCAGAGGTCATAGCCGGTCTGGTTCCAGTACTGGGCAACATAGGCCAGATCGTTGCTCGCAATGGGCCAGACGTGCGACAGAGCAACGTCCGAGTAGCCATTGTCTATCAGCCATTGGGAATATGCGATCAGAGCCGTGGCACGCAATGCCGGCCCATCACGTTGGGGACGACCCCACTGGCCCAGAAAGGCCGTCTCGTTGATGTAAAACTTGGGCTCTGCAAGACCGGCTCCGGAGGACAGGTCTCCTGATGGGTTCTGGACGGTCTGCAGCTTTGCTTGGGCGGAAATGTAATCCTGGATCAGGCCCTGCAGGGACGAATCGCCGTCGACAAACCGGTCAATCAAGTACTTGAATGTCAAGGCAGCATCTCTCGTCCAGGTGTACCAGTCTTGAAAGAGCGCGATTAGATTAGCGTCCTAGATCTGGCATGGCAATAGTGGGATCTACGACATCTACTCACAGTCAGGATTCGTCTTGGATGGGCTGGCAACCACAATGCCCGCATCTGCTCCCGGAACGGCTTTTCCGTTAGGGCCAATATTGGCCAAGACGCCACGCAGAGCGATATCTGATTCTGACGCAATGAAGGCATTCAGATCGGAAGCTCGTGTCACCAACGACTCTGCCGAGGCACCCAAGGAGAACGCCAGCAGGGCGACCTGAGACAACAATGGCTTGACCAACATGTTGACGATGGGATCTGCTCTGGTCTAAAGACGAACGAATGTGCTCAAACGAATGGACGGGGGACGACCAGATTCATGGATTCAGCCAATGGCCAACCCCCAAGAGCAAGAAGAGATGGCTGACTAAGTCGGTCTTCGTGTTCAGCACACGCGACAGATGGATTGAGAGATGGGTCCGGCTAAGAAGGACAAGATTTTAAGATTCAAAACAGATCTTCAGGTGCCATCTTGGCTGCGGATTTCAGGGGTCTTTTGAACGCACCCCATGGGGCGAATGCGAGTCTGCTAAGCAGCGCTAACCAGGGCTCTGGCGATACCGTCACATCGGGGCCAATCGCTGGTAGGGCTGTTATCACACCAGGCCAGTCAGATCGATTTGTGCTAATTTAGCAGCTGTTGTTGATAACGAGCCAGGAGCCTTCCAATAGTTTGATATAGTCATGATCGAGGATGCAGTGTAGATGCAACTAGTCAGTGATCTCCAAACAATCGAAGTAATGATGTTCGTCAGAAACTAAAAATAGCTCAAACCGGCTGCTGGTTGCCGACAAGCTTAGACAATCTCTTCCAACAACTTTCGATTTTAGATCTACGAAATCAAAATCACGTATTTTATTCATTTGAATCCAAGCAATCTTTGCTTTCCTTTTCTCTCTTTCTTTTTGTTTGTTTTTTGCAAAACAATTGAGACTGAGACAGGTTGTTCTCAATCTGAAGAGATCACTGCAGGTGCATGTCTTACGTTGTTTGAGACTCATCACTTCTTTTGTTCACTCTGCGAGAACACGCAACCATCCTCATCTCCGCAGCCAGCCTGATCTGTCGAGTCCCACTTCGTTCCATCTGCAGGTCCTGTCGAAGTCCTCGGTTAGGCACGATCATGCGGCTCTCTGCCAAGATCGCAAGGGATAGTCGACACTATCGAAACCTCCTTGCTCAACCTGTCCAAGATCTGTCGCGTATGATGAACGATCTACTCCCCTCACTTCCCTTTCCAATACTGCTAATCATAATACCAGGACTATTGCAGAAGTCCACCATGCGTCCTGATCCTGATCGTTCACCGCCACTGACGAGGACTCCACCATGCTGTGGCTTTCTTCGTTCTGTTGACCTATATTCGTCCACTGAGAGCCCTATTGTGTGATATTTTAATTTCTTTGAAACAAGTCCGATGCATACCACGTGTGCGAGGCTTGCAGAAGTGGACGATCTCCTGATCAAGATGTGTTTTCTCAATAGTATGACGCTCATGACACTGGTGGCTTGCCCTCCCTTGTGCGAGTCCCATTTTCCCATGCCAGGGCTCCGAAAATTCAACATTCTTCAGTCAGAATGTCAATTGATCTTTATAAACCCTGCCCTGCCCTCATCCTCTCAAATTGGAATTATTCCATTGTTTGTGAGGCTGGATCAAGATGAAGTTGCCCCTGTTTATTGCAAGTACAGCCTTGACTAGTGCTGTCCTGGCTGCTGATGCGGCCGATTGGCGCTCGAGGTCAATATACCAGCTTCTGACAGATCGATTCTCTCGCCCCGATGGATCGACGACGGCGCCCTGTGTTACCGAAGACCGTCGATACTGCGGCGGCACCTTCCAGGGTATCATAAAGCAGCTGGATTATATTCAGAGGATGGGCTTTACGGCGGTTAGTTTGGCACACTTCAAGCTCTCAAACAAAGAAACATGCTGATAGCCAGGCTAGATTTGGATATCCCCCGTTACCCATCAATTGGAAGGGAGAACGCCCTATGGGGAAGCGTACCATGGCTACTGGCAGCAAGATCTCTACAAGCTGAACTCCCACTTTGGGTCGCCGGACGACTTGCGAGAGTTAGCAGAAGAACTGCATCGACGTGACATGGTGAGTGTAGAGCGCCTGAAACGTTCACCTGGGAAAGGGCTTGCTGATGCAATATTAGTATCTCATGCTCGATGTCGTCGTCAATCACAACGGCTGGAACGGATCCGCGTCTACAGTCGACTACAGTGTATTTCATCCTTTCAACAAGAAGGAGTACTACCATGACTACTGCCCAATACTCGACTGGTCCAACCAGACGCAGGTTGAGGATTGTTGGATCGGTGACAATCTCGTCTCCTGCCCAGACCTGTATACGCAACATCCACACGTGAGGCGAGAATACCAGTCGTGGATCTCTGATCTCGTCCGCGACTATTCAGGTATGGCACTTGTCTGCAATGGCAATCAAGACAGGGATTCGGTATCTCACATGCTCTTATCCAGTGGACGGATTGCGAATCGACACCGCTAGGGAAGTCGAAAAGGACTTTTTCCTTGGTTTCGTTTCGGCGTCTGGAGTCTTCGCTACCGGAGAGGTCATGGTCAACGACGCCAATGAGGCCTGTCCTTACCAGCCGTACCTAGGCAGTTTCCTGAATTACCCTGCGTAGGTTTTCTGGGTTGTACAGTACATTCGTGATCCTGACTGACAAACCTTCTACAGTTACTACTCATTGATAGATGCGTTCAAGAGTCCGTCGGGCAACATCTCCAGCTTGGTCAATCAGATCAACCTGGTGAAATCGACTTGCTTGGACACCACCGTCCTGGGTAGCTTTTCCGAAAATCACGATAACCCGCGTTTCGCCAACTACACGGCGGACCTGTCCCTGGCAAAGAATGTCATCGCATTCACGATGCTCGCAGATGGGATTCCCATCATATACGCCGGTCAAGAGCAGCATTACTCTGGCGGCAATGACCCCAACAACCGCGAAGCGCTCTGGCTGTCTGGCTACGACACTTCCGCACCGCTTTACCAGCACGTCGCACAACTGAATCGGCTTCGTAGTCATGCCGCACGCCAGAGTCCGACATACCTGACCTACAAAAACCAGCCCATCTACAGTGATTCGACGACCTTGGCCATGCGGAAAGGGTTCGACGGGCAACAGGTTATCACCGTGCTCAGCAACCTCGGCACTAGCGGCCCGAAGTACGTCCTATCCCTTGGAAACACGGGATATCAGCGTGGGCAGGAACTGGTCGAGGTCCTGACTTGTACTCATGTCACGGTGGACGACAACGGAAATGTCCCGGTTCAGATGGAGCAGGGACTGCCGCGAGTTTTCTATCCGGAACACCAGCTTCGAGGTTCGGGGTTGTGTGACCTGTAACAGGGCCAATGGCCGCAAAATCTGATTCAACTAGACATTTTTTCTAATTTCTTTTTTTTCCATTTCTGTTTTACTATTTATTTGTTTATTTTCATCCTTTATTTATTTTCATTCAATATCTCTATAGGGCGCTTGTGGTCTATTATAGACTATGGCCATTCGAAAAGAGACAAAGCAGCCCGTGTGATCCGATAGCAAACATATCGTACATACCTAATTGCATCTAGGTTGTCCAACTCTTTTTTTTTTACCTTTCTGGTTTCTTTTTTCTGCGGTTCGGATTCTCGGCTCTGGTTCCACATGATCGATGCGGGTGCATGGGCGGCCTGATGCGGGGAAGGTAGCATTTCTGGGGATGATCGTCACGGAGAAATATCAGTCACAACACGTGTGACGGAGGAATTTAAAGAAAAAATACCGGGGATTATATTTGTTCTAGCCTTATGGAACCCCTCCTCAACGCTCAGTATATAATGTGTCCTTGAGACGAATCCCTGTGATCCGTCTCTCCAGATGTTAGGCATATTTCCTGTTCGGGAAAACTGTATTAAACTAATAGTGCGGAGGAGAGTCCCTTGTAGCATTATTCTTTTGAGAGTAGTATAGTATATACCGGTATGAGTGCTTATCCATTGTCTGCTTGGCGACACCAAGCAGGGACGGTGGCCGTGTTGCTGTCGGCTCTGTTTGCTGGGGTTTCCCATGGCAGTCCTGGCCTTTCCCGTAAGTATCCTTTTCCCGCACAACTGACAGGATTCTCTCTCTCTAACTCGACTTGTGCGATCAATTTCTTTCTTGTGACAGTCCTTCCTCGTGTCCTGGAGCCTCTTCCTCTCGGATCCATCAAGCCCCAGGGTTGGCTGAAGGATCAGTTGCAATTGATGAGCGATGGCCTCGCCGGGCACGAACACGAGTTCTACGGCTACGTCCGGAGCAATCCCTGGCTGGGAGGCGATCAGGAGTACAGCTCGCTCAACGAGGCGTTTCCATACTGGTTCAACGGGCTCGTGCCGCTGGCGTATGGGCTGGACGACCAGCGTTTGAAGGACCAGGTCCTGAGCTCGGCAGACTACATCCTATCGCATCAGCAGTCGGACGGCTGGCTGGGCCCGGAGACCAACCTCAGTACGCGCAACTTCTGGGCGCGATATCCGGCGTTTCTGGGTCTGGCCCAGTTGGCAGAAGCCGAGAACGGCACGGATGTCGAGAGACGGATTCTGGATGGCATGCACAGATTCGTCAATCTGATGCATTCCATGCTGGCCGACAACTATACTGGCTATGTCGTGCACCCGGGAGACGATTTCGATGACCAGTGGGGACGCTCCCGGGCAGCAGACATGATCTTGGGGCTGCAATGGCTGTTCGAGAAAGATCCCCGGAACGACTCCCAGATCCTGTTCGAGTGCATGCAGTACCTGAACCAGAAAGCGTACAATTGGTCGTACTGGTACACGGAAGGAGTCTACATCAAACAGGATCTGGACACCGTGCCAGTCAACATCACGAATTTTTACTTTCCTTTCGAGCATGGAGTGAATGTTGGCCAAGGGCTCAAGGCCGGAGCAGTCATTCGGCGGTTCACATTCGACGACAGCCTCGCTGACAGTTCGCGACGGGCCGTCAATTGGACCTTTCAGTACCATGGCACGCCTTCCGGAGTGATCATCGCGGATGAGAGGTTGTCAGGTCTGAGTCCCGTCCGGGGCGTGGAGCTGTGTTGTGTGGTGGAGACGATGTACTCGCTGAGCTATCTATATCAGGCCCTGGGAGACGCCTACTTCGCGGATCGATGCGAACTGGCAGCTTACAATGCTCTTCCTGTCATGCTGACGCCCAACTGGTGGGCTCATCAGTACGTCGCCGAGACGAATCAGCCGATTTCTCACCAACTAGCCGTCTCGCCGTTCTGGAACGTGAACACCGTCGGCCAGACCTTTGGCTTGGAACCCAATTATCCTTGCTGCACCGTGAACCATCCGCAGGGATATCCGAAATTCGTCTCCAACTCTTTTGTGAGGGTTGATGAGGATGGCATCGCGCATGCATTATTGGGGCCGACCTCCGTGAACACGACCACGAAGTCGGGACGACGAGTTAACATCGCCTGCACCACAGACTATCCCTTCAGCTACGACTTGACATACTCCGTTCAAACTGACGGGCCTTTTGACTTTTTTGTTCGAGTCCCGTCATGGGCATCCACATCGAACAGCGTCATCGCTGTGAACGGAGGTTCGCCCCGTCCGGTCCAGGCAGATCCAGCAACCGGCTTGCATCGCATCTCCTTGGACGGTGGAATCAGCACGGTCGTATATTCGCTCTCGACAGACATCCGCGTGGAACAGAGAGCCAACGACACCGTATCGATCTATCACGGCGCTCTTCTCTACTCTGTTCCGATAGGCGAGAATGTCACCACCCACAGCTCCAACTATCCAGGTGCTCCCCCGGAAGTACAGGAGTACACCATGCTCCCGACGACGAAATGGGCACTTGCAATTGACCCTTCCACACTCCGGTTTAACGCGTCGCAGAACAACGGCTCTCTGCCGAATCCGATATGGACCTTGAACGCGCCGCCCGTGACCATCACGGCAACGGTGTGTGAGATCTCATGGGACCTGGTCAACGGGTACGCACCCAATCCACCTCTCCCAGGCCAGCGAAATTGCACGGGCGATCCGTTCGAGATTGCCCTGGTGCCCTATGGGAGTGCGAAATTGCATATGGCCGAGCTGCCGACGGTTAGTTTGAGATAAGTTCTGGCTGCGTGTACAGAGTACTAGCAGAACAATTCTTCATTTGAACGCGGTAGTTATACAGACACCCAAACTGTAGATACTGCTGTACAGAGTAGATACTGGCCTCTCTGCTAGCATTGACGAAGACAAACCCACAAAAGGAGCGATCCAAGAGCATCGATGCTCTGCCAAGCCGATCTGCAGTGTTAGCGCCCCCGTGATAATCCCGTGATTCGCCTACGTCATCGCGCCCAGCCCTCCCGCCCCAGTCGGCGGCGGAGCAACTGGCCCGCCGAAGCCATTGCGACCTGCTAAACTCGCACCGCAGCAAACCCCTGGCCGCTGAAATGTGCACCGGGCCTGGCACGGCTTGGCTAATTAATTACTTAATTGACTTCAGAAAAATCTATCTGTCCTGTTCGATTCGGCCGTTGATCAGATCAGGCCCGACCCAATCTCCCGGGCACGAGGTCCTCTCCTCGTCTGGCTTCTCCGGTTCCCCAAAATTTATTTTGCTCCTCGCTCTCTCTCTGCTGGCTTCTCCCCACTTCTGTCCGCCTCTTGTCGACCTCGAATGCTTCCCTCGTCGCCGTTCACAGGGTAAGAGCCCCTACAGCAGCGTTTTCTAGCACTCGACCGACTCCACGGCGGAATTGGCTTCGATTGGGGACCGCAAGTGGGAGGCAGCAGTCTTCCCCCGGAAAACTTGACCTGCCGGGCATTCTGACGTCCATCTCGCTCATTCTCCCTCTCCTTCGACATGCCTCGCGTGCGGAGAAAATCCAGCAATCTGGGGGCGGATATCCGCGGTGATACCAGTGCCCCGGCCATATCGACCATGTCCACGGGCATCGCAACCAAGACGGAGGTTGCAGACGTGTCTCAGGTGCGATTCTATTCCCATGCCGCAGTCCTCGTGGCTTGTTATCTTCTTTGTCTTTGGGCTCATGTTTCCGGCTGATCGTAGGATCGTCCGCCGCGGACCGCAACAGACAAGGCCGGGAGATCGCCAGCCAAACGGCGCAAAACACGCTCCTTGTTCCGACGCTGGATAGACCTTTCGTTGAAGCACACATGGCTGACGCCTCTGGTGATCTTGCTGGTGATCCTGTCCGCGTATGCCGTCAATCCGACCGAGTCCAATCCGATGCATAGCGCCATCTTCCTGTCGTACCGTCGCGAACCGCGCTACCCGGGCGAGCCGGTGATGTATGGCAAGGGCAAGAAGGATTTCGCCTTCGTCGCCTTCTACACCGTCTTCCTGTCCTTCACCCGCGAATTCCTGATGCAACGGGTCATCCGCCCGTGGGCGATCTACTGCGGGATCCGCTCCAAGGCCAAGATCGCTCGCTTCATGGAGCAGGTCTACACGGCCATGTACTTTGCCATCTTTGGGCCGTTTGGTCTGTACGTCATGAGTCGGACGAATATCTGGTACTTCAACACCACGGCCATGTTCGAAGGGTTCCCGCACCGAGAGCACGAGGCGGATTTCAAGGCTTACTACCTGCTGGAAGCGGCGTACTGGGCCCAGCAGGCCATTGTCCTGCTGCTGCAGCTGGAGAAGCCCAGGAAGGACTTTAAAGAGCTGGTTGGGCACCATATCATCACATTGGCCCTTATCTTCCTGAGTTATCGGTTCCACTTTACGTACATGGGGCTTGCCGTGTACATTACCCACGATATCTCGGACTTTTTCCTGGCAGTACGTTTCCCCCTCTCTTTTTGTGAAAATTTTCTGACTCGAATAGACGTCAAAAACTCTCAACTATCTGGATTCCCCGATCATTGGGCCGTATTTTGGACTGTTTGTTGCCGTCTGGATCTACCTGCGACACTACCTGAACCTCAAGATCCTCTGGGCAGTGCTGACGGAATTCCGAACTGTGGGACCGTACGAGCTGAACTGGGAGACGCAACAGTACAAATGCTGGATCAGTCAGATCATCACCTTTGTCTTGCTGGCCAGCTTGCAGGCGGTCAACCTCTTCTGGCTGTTCCTGATCCTGCGCATTCTGAAGAACTACCTCTTGAACAGCGTGAAGAAGGACGAACGGAGCGACAATGAAGAGGACGACGAAGAGGTGGAGACGACTACGAAAGCTTCGAACGGATCTGCCGCCCTGCCCAACGGCGACGGTCAGTCATTGACGCAACGGAATGTCGGCAAGGACCAGCAGGCTCCTCAGGTTCTCCTGAACGGGCAGCCAGTGGCCGACGCCGACGATTCCACGGACGACAAGAAAGACCGATGAAAATTACAGAAGCATTATATTCGTTATTATCTTCAATTAATTCGATATAATTCATATGTCAATTTATGTTAATTAATGTCAATTCACTTTTGTCGATCCCCTTTTTCTGAATTGACATGGCATGAAAAAGCAGCAAACGGAATGTTCACCTGTTCTCCTACCCACGGAACGCTCAACTATTCTTCTACCACCCTCCTCACTCCCAGTCAACCCAATCGTTCACGGTCCAATCTGCATAAGCTTCCTTGTCGCGCAGGTGTTTGATTCATCTTCATTTTGGAAGGGAAGGAAGGAAGGAACCTTTCTTTCTTTCTTTGCTTCCCATTGCTTCCCATTTCTCAGCTGGCAGGGCTTGGCTACGTCTGTCTACAAAAGGGGACTAACCTATTTGTATTTTTTTCTCTTCTCTTTTCTTTTCATGCATAGCGTTCGTTTTGCTTCTCCCCGCAGCGAACTTAACTAACATCCATGGTTGTTGCTGTTTTTTGGATGATTGATCGCTTGATCGAGTGGTTCCTTTTTTTTTATTATTTATAAATATTTATTTTCTTGATTGATTGATTGATTGATTGGCTGATTGATTGATGACGAGGAATCATTGAAGGATGAAGATGAAAATGAAGATGAGAAAGAAAATAATTGATTGATTGATTGAGAAGGGAAAAAAAAAGAACAGAACAGGAAAAAAGGAAATAAATAAATGCAAGGAATTGTATGTAGATTAAGCTAATACCTATTTCTCTCTGTCTCGCGTTTTTTTTTTCCCTACACATATTGCTTACATAGGTTATGCAGATAGTATATGTCATATTCATATATATTGCATAATATAGGCTATATTATAGCCCCGGATGGTCCTAGGAGCCTTATTTCTTCTTCTTCTTCTTCTTCTTCTTCTTCTTCTTCTTCTTCTTCTTCTTCTTCTTCTTCTTCTTCTTCTGTCCTGTCTGTTTATCTATCTATCTATCTGTCTGTGTTAATTATTATTGATTCGCCCTTAACTGCAATAACATTACTGACTGCCACATAGCAGCTTTGAGCCCACATTCTCGCACAGTAGCATATGCAAAAGAAATAAATAAAGTAAGCAGACATTTTCCTGTCAACATTCCGAGCCTTCTTTCTCGGTAGTAAGTAAGAGAGAGAGACTGCAAACGCTTCAAAAGCAAAGCTGTAGTATCGAGACATTTATTTATTCATTGTGTCAAAAAAAAAAGGCATCGATATAATATTATTCCACTGCATTGAGACTACTTTTTTCTGTTAAAAAAAAAAAGACGGTTGTGACCCTTTTTATTATCTCATCTCCTTCCTTTGTCTTGCACGTATATATTATCACCATATTATCCTCTCAGATTATATTATCATTATGCAAGACGAGAGAGAGCTTAGTATCCGTTTACATGAAAAGTAAGATCATTAAATTAAATTGACTCGTTCATTATCATAGTCGAGCAATATAGACTAGCTAGGTAGTTAAGGTATTAGAGTCAGTGACTAACTTGCTTGGTTAGTTCACTATATACTCTTCTTTTCAAAAAAAATTTACTATACGGAGTACTATATAGCGATTACTAACCAATGCTGCTTTGCTTGCTCATCAAATGGCGTTTGAGAAGAGATCATCAGATCCTTCACTTCATCATCGCGTCATAACTAATAGAGGCTTGAGTTGAGGTTCAGTAACGGGTTTGACAGCATATTAATAATATCATATTTCTTCCAAAACAGCCAGCCTACGCCGACACAGTCTTGGCCTCCTCCTGGTGTGCCGCCGGCGCAAGCTTCTCCTCGTCATAGCCCTTCGTCTCAATGGCCACTGCATGGCCGAAGGCGCTCTTGGTCTTCCACGCCGGAGTGCCAATGTACGGGATGCCGTTGGGGTCCGTGAAGATGGCCTCGACCTCCTCCAGCGTCTTGCCTGCCGTCTCGGGGAACAGGAAGAAGACATGGATGAACATCGCCGTACAGAATACTCCGAACAGGATGTACACCTTCCACTTGATGTTCACAAACGCCGGGGGCACAAAGTATCCCAGCGCGAAGTTGAAGGCCCAGTTGAACGAGGTGGTCAACGCGTTGGCCTTACCACGCACACGCAGTGGGAACAGCTCTGGAGGGTAGGTCCAGGAGACAGGGCCCCACGAGACGGCGAACGAAGCCACAAAGAGGTAGGTGCATGCAATGACACCTTTGCTGGGAGGACCCTCAATGATCCAGGACTCTGTCTCAATGTTGTTGAGACCACCAGGAGGAGCCGGGCGACCGCGACTCGCAAGCAGTCCACCGTTGGCAAACATGAAGATAAGCATGAAGAGGGCACCAAACAGCAAAGTCGGGCGCCGACCCCAGCGGTCAACAAAGAGGATGGCCGGGACCGTCATGAACACGTTGATGACGTACTGGATACTCGAAGAGACCAGCAGGTTGTTACCCTTCAACCCAGCCATGGCAAAGACGTACCTGTGAAGCCATCAGTCAGTATTCTTCAAAAGATCCGAATACAGATCTAAAAACAGATCTAAAAACATATCTGAAAACAGACGGATGGGGAAACCTACGTAATGTAGTACATCATCACGTTCATACCAGTCAGCTGGGACCAGATCTGGGTGAAGACTCCGACGTGGGTGCGGTTGATCATGTTCGGCTTGAAGAGCTCCAGGTAGCTGACATCGGCATTGCGGCGCTCAAACTCGCACATCTCCTTGATCTCTTCAAACTCGCGCTTGACGAATGGCGAGTTGGGATCACCCTTTCCGTGGACCAGGGTCAACACTGCATGGCAGTCTTCCCAGCGGTCCTTGCGGGCGAGCCAACGAGGAGACTCGGGGAGAATCATCAACCCGAAGAAGAGCAAGACGGCAGGGATCATCTGGAGACCCCACGGGACCCGGAAGGAAGCGGTGCCCTTGATGAAGCTGCAGCCATAAGACACGCTGGAGATGGTCAGTTTGGAAACGATCAATTTAAATGACCTGGACGGAACGTACTAGAACATGATCATGATACCCCAGGTAATAGCCCACTGTTGAAGACTGACGAGACGACCACGTTTGGTGGGCGGAGCCTACCATGAGTTAGTAGTAGCTTCTATACGTTGGACGGCCTCAGCATACCAATTCAGAAATGTAGACAGGAACCTGTGCAGAGCAGATACCAACGCTGAAACCGTTGATGATACGGCCGACAATCAGCATCGGGATGTTCTGGGAAGCGCAGGTTATAATCGAGCCAATACACCTGGCAGCACGGTCAGTCTTTCCTGCGCAGAAACGAAAACCGACGAACTTACCAAATCACCGAACCGATCTGGATAGAGGTCTTTCGGCCGGTCAAGTCAGAGAGGAAACCGGACACCAAAGCACCAAGCCAAGAGCCACCGGCCATCGAAGCCGTGATACCACCCTGAACGTTCGAGGTAGGACCAGCACAGTTTCTGACGCCATTTTCGTAGGTCACCGAACCCTGGTTGAAATAGCAGAGATAGGATTCAGTGCTGATAATGGCCGACATCGAGGCGATATCGAAACCGAACAGGCCACCGCCGACGACGGCGATGGCCGCAATCACGTAGATGTTCCCAACCACCATGATGCCAATAGGCTCTGGCTGGTTAATGGGCTACAGCTCTCTGGTCTCTGTCTCTGCAGTGAGAGAGGGAGAAGGTGAGACAGGTCGGAAAGACAAAGCAAAAAGATCAAGGGGGATGAGCCGCAACGCGGGGTGCAGACGCAGGTCAGGTTAATATACCTTGATCCTCCAGTCTAACCTCCGACCTCGAGGCGAACCGGTCTGCGTGGAGTCACCGTGCCGTGCGGTATTCGGTGACGACGAAGAAGCGCAAGCGCCGGAGAAACTGCATAACAGACGGAACACAACCGCTGCACATTGCAGAGAAACCCAATGGACGGTGGCATTAGGGTTCCACTCTCCGATCCAGCCATGAACTAATGCTCTCCGCCAGCTTCCCCAGACCGTACGGGACGAGAACCACGGGAGGAGATGCCGAGGGCTCATGGCGTTGGGCGCTTGCAACGGGCAGATACAACCTCAGACGGATTGAGAGGAGAAGCGTATGCTCCAATGTCGCTATATCTCAGGAGATGGCTATTCTGTTTGGAGACCAATCATGGCTCTGGTGGCTGGCCGCCACCAAGGCTCGTCCGGTCGATATGTCTTGGAGTCCGGGGAATAGTACCTAGGCAGGGCACTAGCACTGACAGCGAAACCCGCAGACAATTAGCGTGCCACCAACCCACACGTTCAAGTCGATCCAGCACGGTAATCATGTGCATGATTCTGTTGAGCCTATCGTGACCACGACGAGCTGCCCGTGCCTGAATCGTCACGGGCAATTGCATTGCTCCAGCTCTTGCGGCGGAAATGACGTGGGAGTCAAACGTTGTTTCGTCCTGTTTCTCCTATCCTCGTTGAGCAACTGGAGGTTGGAAGCAAGATTTCTTGCCAAGAAGCGCCTCGCCAGCCATGAAGTCGCTAGGACAGCGGACAGTCTCGTCTCCGAAGCCAATCGCATCAGCGGCGCCTTGAGCAACACTCCTTTCAGCCATGTGCGGAGTGGCGCCAATTCGGTTTCTTTTCCTGAGATGAGAAGGTCAAAGTCAGGACCAGCAGGCTAGTCGAGACGTGGTTGTCGAATCATGATGGGGCGATGACGGTCAGAGCGTCAGACTCGTGAACCCAAATCCTTTCTCCTCTTCCAGAAGCCGCCGTGCCAACTTCCCCAGGTCCAGGTCCAGCACGAAGCTGCAGGGTGCCCAGCCGGTAGTGAGCCTTGGCATCTAGACTCATGACGAGCTGCGCAGGCCAACAAGACGAGCACGGCAGTTCTGCGACCACGTGCGAGGCAAACGTCGTTGTCGTCGTCCAGCCAGGGCTGGCCGTTTCGGGATTTTCGTCGGCCAGAGGCTAAAGCACAAAGGTTATTCGGCAGGGTGTGGCTCAACCTAATCGAAGGAATACCCCGTGGGCCAGAGCTCCAGAAAGTTGCGAGAGGATGGATTAAGGTAGTGGCAGCGGCATTAGCGTTGGGCAGGGGTTGGGGGCAAGCAGCCGGTCCAACATGTGACCACCGCAGGTCTGGCATAGGATAGGACAGGACCTAGGCATATACATAATACGGGTTAACATTAATAATTAAATTTCCGGCAGTTCATGCTAGTCTCAAGGCATTTCCCAAGCCCGGCAATCGTCATCCAATGAATGGGATTGGTGGAGAAAACCCTGCCTGCCAGACGCTCAGGCAGAGAAGCTTCACACCATTCCATCATAGCGCCCTGTGGAGGGCAGATTCGAACGCAGCGAAGTTTCCACTGCTACTTGCACGCGACTGTCAGTCACACGCCATCTCATGTCTTTCTTCCCCTCGCCAATCGATTATACTCGACACGATCTCGTATCCAACAGAATGGAGTCGACTGATCTGGGGATACGACGTTGTTGTCATTGTGGCGTCGTGGCGTGTGTATATTACATACTGACATGCATTGCAGCCTCAGTTTCAGTTATCATCATATGACAGTCTAGCAGTCTAGAAGAGTGTCTAGAAGACAGTCTAGAAAGACAGTCTAAAGACAGTCTAATGAGAGAGAGAGAGAGACACCAAGGCGTTCTTTCTTCTCCCATTCTTAAAAAAAAAATAAGAAAAAATGAAAGAGGAACCCAGTTACTATCACGATATTAAGTATCTACCATGCCATATTACCATGTTCCTCCTATTATATGAATAAAATAATAAGTATGACGTATTAAAGGAAGCGGAAATAGTACTGTACTGTATGTACATAGGCAAGGCAGGTTAGAGAAAAAAAAAAGAGGCAGAAATAGCTCTGTGCAGCGGACAATATTTTTTCCCTTTTCTTTCCCTCTGGCCATCTCTTTTTTCTTTTTCATAATAGTAGTAAAGTACTACATACAAGTCTTGTTTTTCCCCCATGGATGAGGTCGAAAAATGATCAGGCGTCGATTGATTGATTGATTCCTTTTTGTTAGAAAGAAAAAAAAAGGGAGTATTATCAAGAGAAAAACAAAGGGGGGAAAAAATCCAAAAAAAAAAGTCATTTTCTTTTGCTTTCCTTTTCTTTCTTCCTTTTTTTAAAAGAATCCGGGCTTTATCCTCACTACATCCAATTAGTTTTAGTTTTTAGTTCATCGAAGTTGTCCTGACACGTGAGTGAGAAGAATGTTTAAACGTCTCATCCACCCATCTTACATACAACAATATAATATAGATATAATATAGATATCATGAGCTGGTTCAAAAACTACTATTTCCTATTAAATAATACCAGCTCAGTTTCATCACCCTTACCGTGGCGAGATATAGTTAAAGAAGGCATATGATCTCTTCTCCTTGTTTTTGCATGTTTTGGTTCGTGTTGGAGCTTAATCATTAAGGCAGAACCATTCATCCACTATGAGGAATGCTTGACGAGGATCGAAGGAAGAAGAATCCTCCATCCTCCATCTACGTATGTACAGTACAGTACATACAAGTTCATGATGGACAATCCGTACACACGTGATAAACCATGGAATGGACTCCCCATGTGACCTGCGAAATGAAAGGGAGGTCCATCTAACCTACCCAGAGCCCGGAGATACAGCGTCGTACCACTGGCCCTATTTATATAGATAGAGGGCAGGGAATGGACAGCCGTAATAGATTGATCCCCCTTTTACTTCGTACTTATTGTTATACGTAGTCAATAAGCAATATCCTTTAATTAAAACATGCAGAGCAGCGTGTCTGGTATTACTCCATACTCTCAAGGTGATTCTTCTAAAGGGCATACATTCGCCGATATATGACTGACTGTATTCCGTATCTAGCAGCTCATAAACCGCTACCATGAAGCCTACCCCTTGACAATACAATAACCCGACGATACACTCGAACAATTCCCGCTCCCTTCTTTTCCTGCCCGGAATGAATCCCTTTGGTGTGTGTGCATGTGTGTGTCTGTGCCTTGCCCGCCGAATTCCATCGAAGCTCAAAACTCGAAAGGCGTAACTTCGTGACAGCATGTACAGAAATATATATCCATGTACAGAATATAACAATCCGCATCATAGCGAAGCTCGGCACTCCAAAAACAAAACAGATTCAAAACCAAAAAAAAAAATAAAAAAATAAACAAAAAATTTGTACACAGAAATCCCATGAAATCCAGGAGACATCGTATGTTGTCATATACCCGCGAAAGGAAAAAAAAAAAAACTCAAAAAGCTCCGGTTGCAACCAGACGACGAAAAATCCGGCATCATTTGTCTATGGGTATCAGTCGGGGTATCGTTGGCGAGCTTCATTCAAGAGATCAAACTTCGAACAAGGACACTGCACCGTGATTGCAATGCGGTTGCAACCGATATCAAACATTATTGCATGGGGTTTGTGACGTTAGTTCATAATCATGACCGAGTTTTCCGCCCGTTCTTTCATCCGCATCGCTTGGGTTTCGAGGGAGTGAGCCATGAGTTTGGTCACTGAGACTATTAGTTAGTGATCAAAACAAAGATGGAAAAATCGGGCTTCTTACCTGGCCAGACCGCGGCCCTGTCGAGCAAGTAAGCCGTGGCCATTAAGATTTTGCTGCCATAACCACCCTCAACCACGCTGGGAAGACGCTGCAAAGCATTAATCGCGCTAGGCGAACCAGTGTTCTGGGCCTCGCGTTGCATCTTTGTCTCAAGACTATTCAGAATCTCTTTAATCTTGTCGATCAGCTTGCAGTCCTCCTCTTCCAAAAGCATGATTCCGGGAACTTGGGTCAGATCGACTTCATCCCGGCCTAGCACACCCAGGTATGGTCCGACCCGTTCCTGGACGGTCGTTATCCACTCCGCGAGAACTTGAGCGCAGTCAAACGAACACAGTGCGCATTGGAGGGGCAGTTCGCGGGACGTGAATTCAGCAAACGTATTACCCAACCGATCCGACATGCACATCGAATCAGCCGCATAGAATGCAGCCTTGCGCAGGTGTTTCTCCCGTCTCGATTGACCGGACCGGTACATCGGAGACATATCGGGAACGGGTTTCTCCTGGGTCGGTGTCGTGGATATGCTGAGGTCTCCCACTCCGAGATCTGCTATGGAGTCTCTTCGGTTGTTCATATCATTCGTAGAGTCCGCACCGTCAGCGCCAGAGTCCTCTGCAGGATGGATGATTTCCGCGCCGCGCGCCAGTTCATTGGACATGAGGTTCCAATCCCGTTGCCAAAAGGCCTCTTTGGACCGACCCAAATTGACGAATAGTCGGACGTAAGCCAAATCAAGGAGCGGAATGCTGTCGGCTGAGAGTGGCCCCGCGCCAAAGGGATTCGGCCGCTCCAGGCTGTGGAGAGGATTGCTAGCCCAGGCCGCTTGCCACGCTCGCAACGCTGGCTCAATGTGCGCTTGCATGGCGTCAGTCTCCTGGGCAGTCCATTGACGACCCATATGTCTCTGACGCGTTTCCCAGATATAGTTGTGAAGAGCGTGGATCAGCACCAGACATCCGAACGTGCTGGGTTTCAGATCACTTTGGGGCAGATCTTCTGCCGCAGTCGTGGACCCGAACGAATTGCTGGACTGAGACTGGAACTGCTGGCGCTGGCTTGCCGTCAGCAGTGTGGTCAGAGCCGACGAAAACGAAATCCCCTTCTTCGCAGCCTGTGCTCCGCCCATCTTCTTCCACGCCTGTGGGGATTCGGCGGCCCAAAGATCCTCTTCACACGGTAGATCGAGTCGGATCTCCGAATTCGTAAGGGCCGGTGCGTGGTTGTAAGCAGAGACCAATAGACTGGAGAGAGTGAAAATGGCATATAGGGTCCGTTTTCGTTCTTCGACGATCTTCCAGTCTAACCAGTCCTTCCGCTCCTTCGGCAGGGCATTTTCCCCCTGGGCGTCCCCTTGCCCTGGTCTGCCGCTGTTGAGATAGTCTTGTGGCAGATTTTCTGGGTCGACATGATGGGTCAATTCGGCAGCCCTTGCCAAGCTGACGAGCGCCGCACAGTGGGTGCTCGCGATGTTGGCCGCCGTCTTGTCACCGCAAGTATGGCCATAGATGACATTCAGCAACATCGCCTGGACCAGCCACAAAGGCGTGTTGTGGACGGAATTATCACGTCCCGCGTTGGTCCGATTGAGGGCTGCGGACATGTCGGCCTTGCGTCTCTCCTCCAGGTACAGCTGAATCATCTTCTTGGCCGATTCGAACAGATCCTTGGACACGGCTGTCTCAAATTCATACAAGGCACCAATAGCGGCCATCGACAGGATCAGGCAACCACCGCCGCCGGCAAGACCGGTTGAACTCAGGTTGAGATGTCCACTAGGCGTGCGCAGATTGTTGGTGTATTCAGGAGCTTGGAAATCGAGGGTGGGAATGTGCAAGAATGGAAGATGCGGATGGAAGTAATTGATATACGCGGAGATATAGCGCTGGAGGTCGAAAGTGCTGGGCAACAGGTACGTATTGGTCAAGCCAGACGGGCGGGAGAGGTTGTCGCGATTATACATGGTTCCGTTGCTGGGCTGCGAGTACTTCCGGTGAGGAGCTCCATTGGGCTGCGACATGTTTGCTAGTAGAGACTGTCGAGTTGAGTCTGTGAAGGTGTCTGACGAGCCTGACGAAATGGAATTTCGAAGGGGACTACTTGCGAAAGGCGCGTTGAAAGGATTAGGAGATTCTCCGCTGGTTACCATGGAGGATGAAAACATACTCTGCGACTGTCCTCCCAACATCGATGGGCTCATTGATGTCACGGGTGGAGGGTTTGCAACAAAAGGGTCTGTGAACTGATTCTGCGTCATCAGGGACTTCGGAGACACGGTGTCGGGAGGAATGCTCAGGTCTTGAAAAGTGGGGGAGGAGAAATCCATCGCGAACGGTGTCGACTGCGCCGCTGACTGAGAAGAAGAAGAAAACGGGTTCTGCCAGCTGACCGACGACGCGATCTGAGTCGATCCATCCAGCATCGCTTCACTGGTCCCACTCTGGCTCCCGGTGCTCATAGCCGATGGAGAGGATTCTTCGATGGCCGACTCGCTGGTATTCCCAAGTGGGACAGTGGTATCGAAGCCGTTGACCCAGTCGAAGTTGCCATCGTCGTCCAGCAACGGATCGGTGACCGCGGGCATCCCGTTGTTGAAAACCTGGCTGAAAGGCGACGAAGGAGTCTCGTTGCCAAAGCCTTGAGGGGAGCCTGCAAAGTGAAGCTGCGCCGGATTGATGGTGGAGCCGTAGAAATCACCCAAACCCAGGTCCGAGCCGAAGCTGCCATAGACTGGTGCCGTGCGTAGCCCTCCGGACATGTCCATGGGGATCCCCGAGGTCTCGATCTTGGGCAAGGAATTCGGCGGAGCATGGACGGAACTGAAGCCCCGAACATCGAAATTAGGAGGTCCCGACACCGAACCGCCGAGACTGGGATGGTAGCTATGGCCCGATTGCCCCGGTCTCGTGACGGAGGCGTTGGCGGCATTAATCATTCCCAATGCGTTGCCATCAATGTGGCTGATCGTGTTGGCTCTCGGTCGCATAGTGCTCGAGGTCCCCGCGATGGAGTTCTTCCGGACGCGGTTTGTCCCAGCTCCTGCCGCCCCCGTACTCTCTCTTCGAGCGTTCCTTGGACGCGAGGAGGGCGTCGCGGTCATGTGCAGCTTCTGCTGATGGCGAAGGAGGAGATCCCGACGGGCGAAGCAGCGAGCACATTCTGGGCATTCAAAGGGCTTCTCCTTTGTATGGGACCGCTCATGACGCTTCAGGTGCTCGAGACGTGCAAATGACCGACCACAGGTGGTGCAGACATGGGGACGTGGCTTATCCGACTTGGGCGGAGGCCCATTCGGGTTCGACGATCCATTCTGCCCGTTCGAGTCGGACGATTTGGAGTCCTCCTGAGACGGAATGTCTGCAAAGACTCTCAGCTCAAAGGCACCGCGAAAAACGGTAGGACAGGTTCAGAAGATGAGTGACGCCTTACCTGACACATCTCCGGGCATTTCACTGATGGAGGAGAGGTCTTCACCCTGGGAGATGGCTGTGGGATCCTGTCCCACCATAGTCTCCGCCAGCATTCTCTATAGGGGTCGAGCCAAGCGAGTTCACTGACTATACCGAAACGAAGGCTGAGGAATGTGCAAGCGAAAAAAAAATTGGCAACAGAATATTGGAAAGAACAGCAAGAAAAAAGGAGCGCAGTGGCGTAAGCGGGTCGCACAAGGGTTCCCACGACTGAACACGGCGGGATTAAGACCAGATGCGTCAAGAACCATCGAATTCATAAACTCTGTGCGATGCAGGTCTGGTCAGTGTGACGTTCTACAGTGCTTTCGGGGAGGAGAAAAATGCGGGCGAAAAGGAATTCGAAGGAAGGGCAGCGTGAAGCCCCCGTTGACAACCAACCAACCTTTTCCAGGTGAACCACAGCTTCGTCCCGAGTGGGAAGCGGACGAGTAATCACAGCGAGACGGAATTCTCGCTCTCCACAGTTCACACCAGGTCTTTGTGTAATTGTACAATAATGAAACCAAAAAGAGTGCGGGCCGCTGCTGCCTTTCGCTTCCCAAACTCGACGGAGCAAAGAGCGGGACGCTTGCGAGAGCTTCCACTGGAACAGAGGAGAATTGACGGAATCGACAGACACGGTGACCCGGATTCTGTGCTGTTCAGGGTGCGGCAGGCAGTGCTTGTCGCGGTCGCCGACTGTTGCAGGGAATTGCGCAGTTCTCTCTGGGCCGGTTCCCGGGCGGGCTCATCCACCGAGGCGCGACGAGGGGTACCGCTGTACGGAGGACAAGACAGCGTCTGGAGCTTCCAATTGCGCCCGCGAGCAGGAGGACGCACACACCGTCTGGAGAGCTTTCTGGCGAGGAGCAGACGATAGCAGTTGACAGGAGATGGTCGTGCCTTGCCAGTGTACAGCGGCGTTTTCGCTAATCGGCAAAGTCGACTTGCTCTTCTACGGTACGACGGGCATCCTTCCGGCGGCGACCACCGCCGCGCGACGCTACGACCAAGACGGATAATCCAACGTCAGTAGGAGCAGCCACGCTCTGGGGGGGTGCGATGCTAACTTACGAGGCTCGCGCTGGGCCGGCCAGGGCTCGCGAGCAATGAGGGCGCACGCAGCGAGCTCGGCGGCCACTCACACACGCCGGGCGCTCCACCGGTCCACGGGCCACGGAACGGCGTACCTGCTTGAGCCTTGCTGAGCGCGTGCGAATGGTCTTCGGCCTATCGTGAGATTTGTGCTGACGACCCGCCGGCCGCGCCAAGACGCCATCCAACGCGGCGTAAGGATACCGTCACGCACGGAACGGCCCCAGGCCCAGCGCCGCTGCGAACGGTATCCTTACGCCGCATGACGATACGCCGTCCTGCCGTCCAGTCGAATGCCGCCTGCCCCGTCACGCCAGCAATCACGCCTATCGATATCGTTTCCACAGTGACGTCGGTGATCGCTTCTGCTGACAGCGGCAGGATGCGCTGGCAAGCCATCACCGTACCGATCGCTCCGATGGCCCTGGGCCGCTGCGGGAAGGATCAGATCTGGCGATTTATCAACAAGGATGTTTTTACAGGCATTGGATGTTGCGCCCAGCGGGTGGGTTGAGAGAGGACGAGCAGGATCAAGACCCATCAGGCCATGCTCGATGGAGCCCTGCTCAGCCGGGGTGGCTGGCAGAGGAGCTGCGAATATGGCAGAGATCCATGGTGGTCCCGGGTCCTTATCGTCCACGATGATGCCGTCAACAGCAAATGATCGGAGACTGATATGGCGGGTGCTGGTTATATATAGGCCTTTGTTTTCCTCGAAAGCTCTTGTCGTTAAAACGTAACACAATGGCTTCCATTGACCGTAACAACTCTCAATTGTTTTCTTCTTGCTGACAACATCGACAAGTCCATGCTTCAATGCACTGCCACAGCCTTACTGTCGATTTGTACCGGTACTGTACAGTACTCTGTGCCATTCTCTGTCCTCGTACTCCGGCAGTGTATCGACATTTCCGTACCGATCGCCTGAACGATGCGTACGGACGCGGTATGCGCTAACGATGGACAGGGACACCCGACTCATGGGTGGATATGCTGAGGCTGTGACTCGTGCGAAGGCCCTCTGGTCCTCTAGCTCGGCCTCGAGTCTACCGACGGCTCTTGCTGGGTGGCGGCGGACGGCCCAGCGCAAGCGCCAACTCGGTGGAGACCGCACGTCCGGCCGCCAAACCCAGCCGTGTGGAGGAGCTCCAGCGAGCGCCCGCCAGGCCGCCAATGGAGACCCCGGCAATGCGGCGCTAGGATCATTGGTTCGGCCTGCTGGCGAACTCTAAGTCTCTACCGATGCTTCGCGCCCATTTTTGACCGTGTCGGGCTTCGAGCAGACGCTGCTGGGTGCTGGGCAGCCAGTCGCTGAGTCGAGACAACAGCTGTCTGACTAATTGATTTTATTACCGCACTGCAATGCCGCATCCCAGGCCCAATGACGACCGAGGTGGGCCCGCGACCCGGCCTTGGCTTCTCCAGATCCGTTGTCCCCTGAGAATTCCCCAGGAAATGCTAAATTCTAGAAAGCGACCGTCCCCGGCGATCGACAGCAGAAGGGATGCTGGCTGGTCAGGTCTTGCCGGATGGCCTGGGCGTCGGAAAGCATTCCCTCCTCGGCATGGAGTCTGGGGTTTGATCTCGGGGAGGAAATCACCCACGTCACAACTTATTCCGTCACGAAGGACGGAGCATCGGATAATAGGTGAAACAAATGTCGCGCGCGCGGAGCCCACCTGTTTCAAAGAGATGAAAGTCTCAACAAAAGGACGATCCGTCCAACGTCCAAGTCGGATAATGCCTCGCGAGAACAAGGGACGACGATTCGCAGGTGGGCCGGCGCTGTTGGTGTGTGGAGGCCACTCCGGTCGCAGAAGATCCACGGATAGACAGTCGCGCGATCCTGCTTTAAGCGTGGCAGGAAGCTTGGGAAAGCATCCATGGAACAGGGACTCAAAATCCGGGGTTGCGGAAAAGAGAACGGTCATGAGACATCCAGCCATGGAGCTGGCCCAGGGTCCTGACTCCTGCGTTTTTCGCTATTGGCGTTTACCTAGGCACTTCGTATTAATATTATTGGGACCCTAACAATGTCATTCATTCTGCGACCTCTCTGCAGGGCAGATCGCGCGTCTCTGCTGATTCGCCATTGGCCAGCCTCGCCGCTACCGAACGAGACCGGTAACAATACTGTGTAAGACGGTAACCGTGACGGTAATGCGTACGGGCCAGTGCTCGGAACGAAATCCGCACGTTTCTGCAAGTGGCTCGACGGAGACTTATCCACTCTGCGCCGTCATCATGCAGAGGGTGCAAGCGCACGCCAGATTTTCCCAGGAAGGAATCCCTGTCAGAGACAGCGTGGATAGAGGAAAAAAAAGGACGCGAAGAAAAGCGGCTGCTCGTGATTGGCAATTAATAATAAATGGCCGTGGGCTGCAACGGACAGGGGGTTCAGAGCAGGCGTGCAGGAGCTGAGGGAGCAGCACCAGCCAGGTTGATCTCCGATACGACGCTTTGACCTCGGCCGGGTGCGCAGGCCGCCCCGTGCGCGCGCCCATCTCGTGGCACATGACAGGTCCCATTCCTGCAAGGCCGACGAGCTCCGAGGCCAGTCATCTGCTGTCGAAGTAGGCATGAAATCATTTTATCAATTTTCCAAAAAGCAAAAAAGAAAAAAAAAGAAAAAAAAATACACGACGGTCTCCATTGAAATCATCCGTTGTCTCTTAGTGACTCTCATTTGTGTGCGATGCCCGTTGTAGAGTACTATATATTAAGGACTCGACAATAATACCTATAACAATCAGCAGCCCGTTAGAGTGTTTACCCGTGCCACGGGACGGAATCCACGGAGCATGCGATGCATGGTTAATACATCGGAGAGATCGCCGCACCACCTCTGCAAAAGGCCCAAGCTCTTTCTCTTGTCATGGCCAGTAGTAGCAATTCCCACTGGCAGGGATAGCCCAGCTGGTAATAGTCCTGGCAGCAACCTGACAAGAGAGAGTACTCCGTACTGTACGGAGTATTACAACTCCGTAGGAGAGAGTACTCGAGTCCGCCCAGCAACTTAATTATTAGTGGCTGGAGCTACCTCCTAAGCGTCGCAGAATCACGGACTATACAAGGACAGGGGCTGTTTCTTAGCGCAGTATTCGATACTCTACCTACGTACGGAGTATTACATAGAAAGACAAGAAGAAAGTGAACGAACTAATTAAATTATATTAAATCAAAAGCCAAGTCTAACTAACAGTCCTGACGAAATTAGTGACTCCATGAGTCCGTCCGGAAAATTAAGGCCTGATTATGTCGACGTCATACCACGGGGCAGCTTCTGCACATACTCCGTACTCCGGAGTATGGGAGGATTGACTGATCGAGGCGATTACACTCGTACAGGATTCCTCATATTCCCTGTATCTGCGTACATACAATACGTCAGTAGCCCTACAGTTATAGCAAGGCTCGATCTGCATGATCACCTAGCTGTTCTCCTGGTGATGTGATTGTGGGATGATTTTCCGATGCACATAACAGCCCAGACAGTATTACCTACCCAGTATGGGCTATTTGCTAGAAGTTCGAGTCGTCAATAGCATTTTCTAAATAGTTGATTATTTCCCAGATCCAGTTCACCTTCCTTTTCCCCGAACAATTCTATTGTTAGTCGTTAATACGAAGCGCAGGCAGAATCAAACGACTAGCTTAGGTTCGAAGATCTCTACGCCACATCCGTGCTTTGTTGGTAACTATGAACTCTATCCAGACAGGTAAAGGATGGTAAATTCATCATAGTCTGATAGTTACTATTTTCTTTTATTTTCTCTCATTCGACGAACTCAGAAGGGTTATTTCTTTATTTTTCTGTACTTGATGGGTTGGCAAGTTTTAATTTCGGCAGTAGATTGATTGAGTGATTATTATTATTGGCTTCATTATAGCCATTTATTTCATCCTAGGTTTACTTTGATAGGCTCATCTTGTCACTTCTGCACGTAATGTTAAAATATACTCCATCAGCTAATTAGGTCTCAATCAATGTTTCACTAACAAGCAAGTTATTATTACCAACTAGTCCTGCTGGATTTATCATTATTAATCAACCGGAGAGTCTTGTTTGAGACAAATACCTATTACGGAGTAACCTATAGGTAGGTACAGTACAGTACCTAACCTGCCTAGGTCACAAGTCACAGTACCTAAAACTACGCCATACTTATCAGTCTAACGATGTACAGTACCATTGAACGAGTACGTAGTGTACAGTCCAGAAGACCAGGTAAACACCCGACCCAATCGGCGGCTCCTCGGATGTGACGGTGATCCACCCGCGACCAACCACCTAAGACACGTCACGGAAGGATTGGAAGCCCTGCCTTCCAATGATGACCTCGAGTCGCGAGTCGCGAGTCCCTAAAGTTGTGCCCTGTGCACTAGCTAAAAAGTATATGTACTGTACAGAGTACAGTAGTGTGCATAACGCACCTAACTTTGTAGCAGTAACCAAACGCCGTCTGGCTCCTGTGTGCATGGATATCCATCCATACATACATGCATGCATGCATCGCAAGTTTCGGCCAAAAGCAATTAACCAATCAACCTGACTATCTAATTACCAGCAAACTCTGTCAGACTCAGACAGACTCAGAGTCAGTACTCAGAATACCTTACCTAGGTGGCCCTCCATCACTGTGTGCACTGTGCAGGCCCACTAATTATTACCTCAACTTGGCACTGACCAGCTTCCTTCCTCGGATCTGCTGCGGGCCGTCTCCAGCTCCCTGAACTGAACTTACCTAAGGTATCTGCAAGTGAAGTGAAGTGAATCAATAATGCGCCGTGGTTTGGTTTGCTGCGTTAGTTAGGCAGTCAGCCCCACCGAGTGATCCGTCCCGACCACACCAATAATAATAATTATCCGGACTGGAGGACATTATTACTTACATGATACTCCGTACACTCCAGGCTACAACAGCACAATTAGGTACAGTACATAGCTGAGAGTCGTCGAGTCTGGACTCATCTGTCGACTGTCAATAATAAATAACTCCGACACGACGGGGATTTAGGTATTGTTTTATTTACTCACGGTTGCTGTAGCTGCCGCTGCTGCCCCTGCCCCTGCCCCTCCCCCTCCCCCTCCATCGGCGATAAAGGGCGAGATTAATCCGGTCGGAAAAATCTGATAGATAGATAGATAGATAGATAATAATAGATAGGGATAGGGAGCTTTGATAACAGGGACGGTACGGAGTAATAGCTGCCAATCTCCTGTACTTATCCCGCGCACGTGATTGATCTCATCCTTGGTGGACTAGAGTAAATACTACTTATGGCAGATATAAGCAGAGTTGACGTATTGTATGTGCACAGTACAGTACAGACATACATACTGCCCAGACGGATAACGAACAATGTTGCAGACATCAGAAATCCTACAATCCTACCTCATAACATCATGAGGCTGCGAAATTGTAGAACTTGAGATTCATAGATCTGCCCTATGAAATTGTAATTTGTATTTATATAAGTGCAGTAGATTGGATTCAACTTTTAGCGAAATATATAACTACCTAAACATTGTGGAAGACCGTTTCGTAAATGGTCATTTTTCATTTTCATCATTGAACAGAAGAAGAAGAAGAAGAAGAAAAAAATCACTGGTATGGAGACTATCCTAATGTCCATATCTACAGTCACAGTCACAGTCGCATAACTGATGCTTTATTTATAATCGTGATGATGTGATCATCCTGTCATGGATACCTTTCCAAGATCCCGAGTCAGATGTATCAGTATAGCAGATATAGCTGCTTTGTTTTTTCCCTTTTCTTGTCGATTGTTTTTTTAGAGGCATGACATTCATGTCGTCATTTTTTAAACGCTGATCGTCTTGAATACCCTGTTTCACAAGAAAAGAAACCGTTAGCCGGACCCGACAGGAAAAAGAAGATAGAGCATAGACATCGACATCGACGTAGACTTACCCAAATCCGTTGCTTCCTGTGGCCATCACCGTACCAGGCATCTGGGCCTGCCAATGCAACTCCTTCACAGACTCCATATAGTGCACAAACAGCAGTTGCGGCGGGATATCAGCCAGCCCGGCATCCCGACTCTCTTCATCATCAAGTTCAACAGCCAGATCCCACAGGGTGATGGTGTTGTCTGCCGACGACACCGCAATGACGCTGTCGTCAGTCGGGTGCCACTCGATACTCGTAACGGGCTGCTTGTGGAAATCGAACGATGCGACGGGGGACGGCTTGATTTGCCCGGACCCCGACGACGCACTCGGTTTCCAGTGTCTCAGATCCCAGACCGCCCATTGTCCGTCGTCAGCACCCGTGGCCAAGAGATGGAACGTCAGCTTCGACCAGCTCATGACGTTCACGTCCGTGTCTGAGATCTTGACATCCACCGCCGGTTTCCGAGACTTGGACCGCACGTCCCACACCTTGACTGTGCCGTCACTGCTGGCCGAAGCGAACACATTCTTCTCGTTCGGTGACCACTGCAGCTCCTCGACGGAGGATGTATGGCCGACAAACGCTCGAGAGTCTGTCACCCATCCACCGCCCTCTGTCCTGGTGGTCACGTAGATCAATCCGTCGTTGTCGCCGGTCAGAAGCTTTCCGAGAGGTTGCAATGGCGACCAGTCCAGTGCATACCCCTCGGTCTTGTGCATTCGCAGCGTGGATATGGGCTTCGAGGCGGAAGGGGTGATGACTGTGCCGGGCACATCGAAGCTTGTAAGATGGGTGGTGACGTCGTGGATGAGCACCTGTGAGTTTTCCAACCACGTCGCCGTTATGGTCTGCGGAGGTTTCGAATAGTCTCCTGATTGAGGAGGCGTTTGGTGCACACGGATGCGATTCGTCGTCGAGTTCAACGGGATTGACTTGGATTCCAGAATGGGGTCTGATGGCGATTCGTCGTCCGAGTCCGACTCGCTCTCTGAGTCCGACTCGTTCTCCCGCTCCATCTTTCCGAGACCACTGAGCTTGAGGATCATCAATTCGTTTTCTTTCGCTCGAGGGCCGTCCGCCTGAGTACCGGCGACCGCGTAGACGGTGGCCGGGAAGGTCTTTCGGTTATCGCCCAGGTTATCGCGCACGATGTCGAACGAGAGACATGGCCACGGCGTGGTGAGCGTATGCAGCATGTCGTATGTGGAGGGATCAGGGGCTAGCGTCTCGCCGGGATTCAGCTTTGTTCGGCCAGGTATGAAGGTCTCCTTGTCGACGTCCATCGCATCTATCAATTGCGCAGTCAGTAATCATCTGTCCACACCATACGGAGAATGCCAAAGAGAAAGACAACGGATGTGCCCACCGCATCGCCGGTTTCAGGACTGCCACGTACCCTCTTGCTCTTCAGCCTCTCGCTCCTCATCCGGGCGACCATCGACGCCCGCTTCGAAGATCTCCTCTTCGCTTTCAAACTCATCTTCGTACTCGTCCTCGAACTCCCCCACTTCGTCCGGAGGGGCTTCTGAGACAGGGCGCTCGCCCGCTTTCAGGGCGGCGGACTGCTCTTCGGAGGCGTCTGCGGCGCGCTTCGACATCGTGAACCGTAGACGGAGTTCGAACGAGGCACAAAGAAGTCTGGCAGCGGCCAGTTGCGCAGCGAACACACGAGCGTCGCGACGCCTCTGTTCCTCTCGAAAATTCATAGATTAGGGCTGCGTGAACTTTTTTGAGGCCGCGGTTGCGCTAAGCCGCAACGGGGCTAGCGCGTAGATTGTCTCCGCGCCGGTCGGTGATGCCCGCTGAACCGCCTCAGCCTGAGGGCTGATGGCCCGATGGCTGGCTGTGCGCGAGTCTCAACTCCAACTCAGCCATCAGTCACTCTTTCATACCCAGCAGACTGCCGTATCGCGCCCTCCTTTCTGTCGTTTGCTTCTCCGTCGCCGTCTTTGAACCCTCCACTCCCTTTCTGGCCCCTTCGCAGCGCCAGGAGCTCCCGACGCTTGGCTCCGCTCCCAGCTTGCCCGAAGCCCCTCCCCTCCCCTCTGTTCGGATCTGCTCCCCGCAAGTCCATCCCTACCTGTGATCGACTATTAGCTCGAAAACCCAATTGTTTTATGCCTTCCTCCAAGATTCATTTCTGACGCTGGGCGTGAACATCGGTGCGCTCCCCAGCCATTCCAGCCCTCCCGTCTGCTCCGCGTCGCATGCTGATACGGTACCCGCATCTTAGTATAAAGATCCTCCGAGAGTGATAGGTACAGAACCTGCGACTCCAAGATGGACGCGGCCCAGCTTCCGGAGACAGGTCCTCCGCCCCAGATAGAGCACGATCAAGAGCGAGCTTATCCTCGATCTGTCACTCCCAATGACGATGTGGCAGTCACTACTGACGAGTCTCCGGCTTACAATAATGGCCACAATCCTGGCGAACAGGGTCATCACCGTTCTCATTCTGATTACTCCTCAACCCAGAATTACTTTGCCCCCGAAGATGACCAGTCGTCTCGATTCAACTCTCCAACAATGACGTATCAGCCACAACCGTCTCAGCCTGCCTCTCGCCCCAGTTCTGGGCTATCTAGCGGGGGAGATCGATATTCATATTCCCAGTCACACCAGGAACAAAGCCAAAAACAACCGGTCCAACCGACAAAGAACAGCGTTGTCATCAAGGTTGGAATGGTTGGGGATGCTCAGATTGGTAAGACGAGCTTGATGGTCAAGTACGTGGAGGGCAGCTGGGATGAAGACTACATCCAGACATTGGGTGAGTTTCCCCGTGCCTCCAATCACGCCTAAGGGTCGTTTCTTACTGTGCGCCAGGCGTCAATTTCATGGAAAAGACCATCTCCATCCGCAATACGGAAATCACATTCTCGATCTGGGACTTGGGTGGGCAGCGAGAATTCGTGAACATGCTTCCCCTCGTTTGCAATGACGCTGTGGCTATCCTTTTCATGTTCGATCTGACCCGGAAGAGTACGCTGAATTCGATTAAGGAATGGTACCGCCAAGGTCGCGGGTTCAACAAGACAGCCATTCCGCTCCTTGTCGGCACCAAATATGATCAATTCGTCAACTTCCCCCGGGAGGACCAAGAAGAAATCTCGATCCAGGTACGTGGTGTTTCTTATCTAGTGTGCGAGTCTATCTATGCTAAATAATGAAAAAGGCCAAACGATTCGCAAAGGCCATGAAGGCGAGCTTGATCTTCAGCAGTACGAGCCACAGCATCAATGTCCAGAAGGTGAGATCTCTTGTCCTGTAGCCATCTGTGGTGCATTTGTTGACCAACTATATGGCAGATCTTCAAGATCGTCCTGAGTAAGGCTTTTGATCTGAAGTGCACCATCCCGGAGATCGAGAATATCGGAGAGCCATTGTTACTATACAAAAACGTATGACGGCAGCATGATACGGGACATGTATGATTGAGGTGATGGGTTGATGATGATGTACGCTGGATGGATTCACGCTTTTTATGATCACCACTTTCTCGAACCCTTTCTTCTTTTTTTTCCCCTTTTTCTCTTCGACACGAATTGGAGGAGTTCTGCGGGCGACATACCAAACCAAACCATCTTGAGTTGGCCCGGTCCCCCGGCCTTGGGCTGTGTGTGAGGTTCTGATCTTTACTTCCTGTAATTTTTCTGCTCTGGAGCTTCCCCTGGAAGCGAGACTTGGAGAGGCGTCAGACTTGGTTCATTTCGTCGAAGGGTGCGACTGGGCCGGGGAATCAGCCACCTCTTCTTGATCGCTATCTGTTTGCTCTCTTGTGCCGTTCTTTCTTCATTTCCCATTTGGCGAAGCGGGCTTGCAAATTCACAGCTGCGATGTACTTTCTGTACGTAATACCTAGGTAAGGTCTGTCAAATTACCGTTTAGGCGTCGAGGATCTCGGGATGTCGGCTATGAAGGATATGAAATTGATTTGGAAGTGAACGTTCGCCTCCAATAAGTCCTGAAAGTATGGGTAATCTATCGATAAGCTGTAATGTTGAGGCTCTACCTGCTACCGAATTATTTATTAATAGTAATAGCTCGCGGAGCCCCTCAGACTCCAGAGTCTGGAGGGGCGCCGTAACCCGTTTAGTTTGGCGCCGTCTCTGTCACTATTATTATCGCCCGAGCATCGCCAGGGATGGACACTGCTTGTGTCTGGGATGGGGCTGATGGGGATGAATTGTGACTCTCGCTATCATTCGTTCTTATCAGACGGAACGAACGTCTCTTGCAGCAGAGGTGGTGCTACTACTGCTGCAGGCGGGCAGCGCCAGAGGAACCTTGGGACTACTAACACGGCCCGTTCGCGTTCACAGCCTCAAACCAACACTCATCCATGCGGCTCAGCTTATCGTTGGAGTCGAGTGTCACAGGCCAAATAAGATATACCCAAGGGTACTTTGACACTATTTCCTCCCTCGACAAATTTATCATCGCATCCGTTCCCATGCTTACTTGCTAACCCTGGCGTCGAGTCCAGCGTCTCCCTTATGATTGGGATCACCGCCGTCTACTCTCGTTACCCCGTCCAGTCTCTACGTGTCGATGGCTGAAGAACCGCGACCCCAGTCGATTCAGGAGCGAATCGCAGCCCTGAAACAGTCGCAAGTTGGACGCATTCCAAATGGCGCATCCTCTGTGCCTGTGGCACCAAGTCTACCTCCTCGACCTGCGGCCTCGACGGCCAAGTCCATCAATAATCCTCCGCATGAGGTGAACGGCTCTGTTGTTAACAGCAAGTCGGTTGGGAACAGACAGAATGGCGGCCTCTCACCACCAACCATTACCAAGACCAGCCCGGACGCAACAGAGGCCAATAGATCCAAACCTCCACCACTTCCTGCGCGCAGGACGCCCAGCCAACCACGTCCACCTTTACCTCCGCGATCACCCTCTGTAGGGCTGCAAAGAAGACCGTCTTCAGAGTCCACGACGTCTAGTACTTCATTTTCGACATCGTCTACTTCAGGGACAGCAAAAACGGCTGATACGCGGGCAACATCTGTCGAGACCGGGACACATCCACTCCGCGCACCAGCATGGGGAGAGACGGAATTGCCTCCCCTCCCTCCTCGCAACTCCGGCGAAACGAAGGAGCCATCGAGTACGGAGACGTTACGGAAGTCAGCTTTACCGCCAATGCCTCTCATAAAGCCACCGTTGCCTTCGCGGAATCCGTCGAACGAATCGAGGGAGATCAATCGTCCACCACCCCCTCTGCCACGGCGGCAGCCGTCAACTGATCAGGTAAAGCAATTGCCAATCAGGTCGGGAGATCAGTCCACGAAGGGAGCCGGCGGCGGACAAGCAGTGAGGAAGCTTCCTCCTGTACCTTCTGCAGATGATATCAACAAGATTCGACAGTCATCCTTTGCGGGATTAAGCAAGCCTGTCGAAAAGAATGAGTCTCCAGCAACACTTTCTAATGGCCATAATCAAAATCACATCGCCTCTGATGCTCCTCCTCCCGTTCCACTGGCGACACGTCCAGATCTGAGCGCCTTGCAGGCGACGAAGCCTAAATTCAAACCAAACAAACCTCCTTCTTTGTTACATTCAAGCACGGAGTGTCTGAAATGTCGTGATTTTTCAGGACCAGATACCCATGCGGCTCGGTTTCCCCGCCAGTCTCTTCCTTCGAATGACCTGGCATGGCTGGCAAATCAACTTACAGCGCCATTTCCCTCGCCAACAGACAAGGCGAGGGCTATATTCACGTGGCTTCATTATAACATCAAATACGATGTGGACTCTTTCTTCAACCACTGTGTGCAGCCTTCGACGCCGGAAAGGACTCTTGCCACGGGTCTGGCCGTCTGCGAAGGATATGCTGGCCTCTTCAAGACTCTGGCAACTCATGCTGGCTTGGAGGCTCTTGTGATATCAGGCCATGGCAAAGGATATGGTCACGTGCAGCTAGCACCAGGCTCTCCTATTCCTCCGTTCGAGTCAAACCACGCGTGGAATGTCGTGAAAATCGACGGGGGGCAGTGGAAATTAATCGACGCGTGCTGGGGAGCAGGAGCAGTCCAAGGTAAAGGCAAGCCGTACATCCACAGGTTCGACCCGACCAATTTTACCAAATCCAATGACGAGTTTGGTTTGACACATTTCCCGGCGAATAAAAACCACTTTTACCGTGACGATGGTCGTCCCGAGATCAGTTGGGAGGAGTACATCCTCAGCGACCCGGACAAGCCGTTTGGCATCGAGCAGCCCGTCGTCTTTGGGCCCGCCAAGGAGGAAAACGGGATCAGTGATCGCTCGTTCCTCCCTGCTACGAGGCGGATCTCCGTTCACCAACCGGGGCCCATTCGTTTCCAGTTCAGTCTGATCTGCGAGCACTGGACGCTCACCCGACACAGCAAGAAGAGCGCGCCATACCTCTTCTTGCTGATGATCCACGGCATCGACGGCCGGCAAGACGACCGTATCCCGTTCAACCACGTCCCCGGCTCCGGACCCAACGGCGGCGGTGATTTCTGGTATGTGGACATCGCCGACCCTAGGACGCTGGGTGCGCCCGGCCAGAAGTTGGCCATTGCCGCTGTCACCAGCTTCGGCTCCCGTCAAGACGCTCGGGGCCTATCATTGCAGGAATACCGGGAGAACGTAGGCAGGGTTGGCATGGCATGGTCCTACATGGCGGAGTGGGAGCTTGTGTGAAATGGGAAAAAAAATAGCAAAGAATATACGAAAACATCCGTACATATAGGGTAGTACTAATAAGGTAGTTTTTTTCATTGTTTTCTTCTCATTGTTTTTGTTTTTCTTTTGGTTTTTGATACCCGATTTCTAATGAATGAAGTTCTGGTTCCAAACTGAGGACGAAGTCCGAAGAGACGCATTCATCCTGATTTTTTTTTGTCAGCAATGACTATATCATGTTGAATCAATGTTCACACGAGTTTTCGTCGCCTATATATAATTTATATACACATTTCAACAATGAAGTGGATTCGGTGAATTATACTTGGATTGTAATCTCATTTTTTTTTAATATATATTTTAAAATACACCCAGAGCACGAGGGGCAAAAAGAAGATTCATACATACAGACATTCATACATACAGAAAAAAGTTACATTGAAATCTTACATAGGAGGTATTTATTCATTCTATTTACATTTACACAATCAATCTTTCAAATGAGTACTTGCCCACCGCTTTCCGTCGGAGGTAGCCGATCTCACGGCTGGTTCTTTGCTTGACTTCTCCTGTCGTGGGCTTCACTTTCGTGCGGCTCACCACCTCACCGGCTCCGCTGCCGCCGCTGCCGCCGAAGGAGCCCGCCTTGAGGGAAAGGGGTAGCATCTTGCCGCTTACTTCGCCGTATCCGTCTTCGGGGATGGCGAATGTCAGGAGGTCCGCCCCGTTGAGCTTCTCGCGCTTGACGCGAGGCAAGCCGTCGTCGTGATGATCCACGGCTGTCGACGTCTCGGCTGCATTGGCAGCGGGAACGACCGTGCCGGCGTACCGGATGAACTCGCGCAGGATGCCCTTGATATACGTCGCCTCCTCGACGCCAGCCAGGGCGGCCGATATCTCGGATTTCATGTGCGCGATCACGTCCGCTTCGTTCGCGGCTGACCCGGCAAATCCCACGGCGGAGATCCAGCCGGACGGACCGATGGCGTCCACACTGGCGTTCAGCAAATCGGTGATTGCGTTCAGCGACAAGGGGGGCGCAGCCTTGATAGAATCGATTGGGATGGGCGGTTCTTCGGTGAACCGCGACGTGTAGCCGCCGGTGGCAAGCGACACGCGGAGGTGATGGATGACGGAGAGCGTGTCTGTGTTGGACAGTGTCGACCGGAAAGATGCAACCACCTTCGAAAGGGGATGCTTATGGAGTTGTGTGAGAGTCAGATTCAGCCCGATGAAGGCATCCTCCAAGGATGCTTCCGCAGAGGCGGAAGACTTGGCTGGAGGGCCTGAGATCTTCTCGCCCGAATCTTGATCAATTTCCATATCCCCGTGCGAAGTATTTGTAATGGTCATGGCTGCTGGCTCATCGAGGGCAGCAGAACGCGCCCGGGCCAGGTCGAGGAAGATCTTCAACGCATGTGTCAATTCCTCCGAATCGAGCACCGTGGGCCCTTTGAGAAGAAGGGTGAGATGCTTCAAAGACGGGTCAAAACGAGCAAGAGCCCGTACAAGTGCGCCACTGCGGAGAGGCGGCAGTATACGGGGTTTTGCGGCCCGACGAAGAGCAATATCGATATTATTCGTGGACAGAGAGCCGGATTTTATCAACCATTCGCAAGTATCTTTGGGCCAGAAGAGGATTGCTAGGTTCGTCGATGAGCCTGCTGGATCACTGCTCTCCTCGTGCTGCATGGCGAAAATTTTGGACAGCACAAACAGTACTCTCTCAGGATTCACGAATTCTCCAGGTGAAGGCAGAGCGTTGCCCTTATCAGATGAGCCGAAGTACGACTTGACCGCGTTATCGAATGCAACTGCATCTGCGGACTTTGAGGCCGATTCCAAGTCCTTTTTGAAACGGTTCCATCGATCCACATCTTCTTGAGTGACAAGACCTAGAGAGGCCATATGCTCATCCCGATACTTGTCCGCTGAAACATCCCATGACGCGGCAGAAGAGCCAATTCCACGTCCAATCGCATCGATGAGGAGGCCATCCCTCTGGCGTTTGAGAGAAGGTCCGTGCATCGTGTGTAGGGAGCTCAAGTCAAAGGCAAGAAGCACATTGCCTTTTGTAGCCAATGCAATCCCTAGCTTTGCAAAGTACCCGACAAAGATCGTCGGGGCTTTGCGATCGGCGTCCTTTGAAGAGCTGTTGCATAATATGTCTCGAACTGCAATGCTGCGCTGAATGGAGCAGTATTGCGTGTCGTACAAAGCGACCACTGATTTCCCAGCACCGATCACGGAGTGAGGAGAGATGCGCATGATAGAGGAGAATTGCTCATCATCCAACAGGAACTGTGATGTCACACTGGGCGAGTACTGGGAAAGATCGAAGTTGATGAACCCCCGTTTAAATGACAAGCTTAGCCCTGCGGATCCCGAATGGAAATTCCATTGTAGACCCTCCAGATCAACCTCTTCTTGACCAGCCAGGTGAGGCAGGTGGACAGTGTGAAGATGCCGTAACTTTTGCGCTTCATCCAGACCAAAACCGTCCGAGCGAAGCTGAGCGGGAACAGCGAAAATTTGAATCTTGACGTCTGACAAAGATATCCGCTGGGAGGCGGCTGGATGCAAAACCAACAGCAGCACAGAAGGTTTCCCGACGGTGGGACTGGTGACGTCGCTCATCGCCAGTGCAGCAAGATCGGGCCTCCTCTTGAAAAGAGATTTCTGGACATCATCAAACTCCAGAAGAAAGCCCGCAGAGACTTCGTAGCTAGCCGAAGAAAGGCTGGCAATTTCGCTGTGGTGGATACTCCATCTTTGAGTTTTCAGGTCTGGTGCAAGTCTCCGCACGCGGCCATCTTTGTGCACACTCAAAAGATCAAAAGGTTCATCAACCTTTTCGTCGACTGAACCTCTTGGGACGATCCCGACGAAAACGGTCGGGCTGTTCGAGTCTTTCAGCGAGAACGAAGAAGAGGTGATGACGGGCGCGGTAGTCGCAGAAGCTGAAGTCTCCTCGAAGAACCCTTTTATCTGCTGCTCCGGCCGCTCAACTGCGCAGTATGTCTGTCGCTTGACTGCTGAAGTCGACGGGACCTTGCGACGCACCGAGCATGGGCGACAGGAAAATGATGATTGCGGTGGAACAGCATAAGAGGTGACGAGCTTTGGAGATTGGACCTAAAACCAATCATTCAGCAAAAATGCCCCAATACATAGCAAACAGAATCCGTACATTGTATATATTCACCGCTTCTCCATCAATTGCGACCGCAACCTCATATCGCTTTCTTTTCTTGGATTCGGCTAGGCTGAAGACGTCCCCGATCTGTGTCTTTCCTGTCAAACTCTGCAGTGGACGGGGTAATTGGGCCAGCACAGAGGGCGGTTGTAGATCCATGGCTGCGCAGACCAAATTGAGATCAACTGAAGGAAAAGGTGCCTTTTGTTCTGTAAAACACCGGCACCGTGCTGGGCCCCGCGGCTTTTTACTTCCTTCTTGGAGAAATCTTTCATGAACAACGGCTCCAAAAAAATCTTCGGCATTGTATTGGGCCGATCTCCGGTCCCAGGCGATATCCCAAAATACGCTAACCATATCTGGTATAGTGTGGCTAATGACGTTCCAGGTGAGGAAAGTCGCGCTTGAACGCGCCTACGCCTGCTTCGCGTTCTCCATTACGTGATTCTAGGTACTCTTGTTACTTTGCGCTCTCGTTATTGAACACCCTATATATTCAATCCTCCTCGGGCCCTGTGCAGCTAATTGTTTATCCATGGTGACTCCCTCACCAAGCAAACACCTGTTATGTCTGTTTCATCAGTCTGGACGGCTCGGGGAACTGGTCTATGGCTTCTGTCGCTGTGAATAGGGTCATGGGCCAAGGGGAACAACAGAAACTCCATCCCTTTTTCAGACAATGTCAGATTTCCCTAGGACTCTTATTTCAAGCCGGCTAATTTATGATAGATCCCCGCCGTACGAATAGAAACCCATCCCAAGCTTCCAGTTCGCATCCGCCTAGTTCAGATCAGGATCAAACTACGGAAAATAATAATGTTTTAGGGAAATGCACAGAGCCTCCTCATGTTCAGGCAGGCCCTCAGGGCCTATCTGCTGTTCAAGCGCATTTCAATTGCCAACATGCGCATGTCGAGAGTCCAGAAATCCCGCAGGATGCTTCGCTGGAAGAGGATCCCAACTCCAATCGAAGGAAGAGGCTGAGGACTTCGGCACCATGGGAATCAGATGACGGCGGTGACGACCGTGCCAGGCTTGTCCATGACGCTCATGGTTGCGACGTTTCCCAGGACCTAGACGTGCAGACCTCCCGTCGCGATCGAGAAGTTCAATCTCCATGTAGGGATATCTCGAGCGGCATAGATTATACCTTAGCTGGTGGCGGTGAAGGACATGTTTCGCAGAATGTCTCGGGTGAAAGCACAGGCGGAACTGTGAATGTGTCAAAGGCGATACCAGAGCCTGCGGCTGCCGCCTTTCCCAGCCCAGAGTCACAAGGCTCAGCACAAAACTCTTCGGCACTCGACGCATTGGAATCCGCAGAAGCTGCGGGCTCCAATCCACCGGGTACAGAGAAAAAGTCTCCTCCAAGGAAAGTCCTGAAACTCAATCCCAATGGCAAGCTGTTGAGTTCGCCCCCTTCAAGCAGGTTCGAAGACAAAACCAAGAATAAATCCAAAAATAAACGCAAAACTGCCGACAAGAAAACTAAGGACTCTAGAGTTGTTGTCATCAAATATGGTGATGGGGCAGACTCGAAAGAGAGCATTGGGAAAATGGTCGATGACATCATCCATGGAAGACAAAGGCATGTCTCTCGCCGTCAAGATGTCTCTAACACCAGTTCGGGACCACCAAAACCTACCCATCCATTCTTTTTGAAGAATACTGGCCGAAAACCGGAGAAGTCTGCTCCAATTACCAATACAAGCTCAATTCCAGAAATGGCGAGTTCTAATAAAGCTAAAGAGGCAAATGAGAAGTCGACATCATCTGGCAATATACGAGAGACTGTCTCGCAGACAACAAGAAGTACTGTTCCATTTCCAAGGTCTCATTTGCCAAGGTATCCTGATCCAATTGCGCCTCTTTGGCCACCCCGGGATATGGTCCACGTGAGAGGTGCTGAATTTAGGCCATTTCGTGATGCTCCGGGGCCTGTCCTCCCTGGTCCAAGGAAAGACAAAGGCTCCGCAATGGGAGTCAGCGACTCGGAGAATGTCCTCTTGGCTGAGCTGCGGCGATCTCTCAATACCGTCTCTGACTCTCAGAATCCACTCCCGCCTACAGATGCAGAGGTTTTGCGGATACCTAAGAGGCATCTCGCTAGTGGCTCCGTGTTACAGAAAGGGATAAACAACCAGCTATCATATCATACCGTAGTCGAACCGGGATCCACACACAAAACGGCGCGTTCAGGTATCTCTACGAAACAAAGAAGACGTCACCCGGCTGTTACTAAACTTCATTCCTCAATACCTTCAACTATGAGCGCCTTCGATACCGGCAATTTTGAATCCGTCCCGTGGACCCAGAAATATGCCCCCACTTGTGCAGAAGAAGTTCTTCAAGTGGGACCCGAAGCTGCTATGCTACGAGACTGGTTGAAGAATCTGATGGTCTCTGCTGTCGATACTGGCAGGCCAGGTAAGGATAAACCGAACAAAAAGCGACCGGAAAACAGCAAAAAAGCGAAACGACGCAAGGCATCCGACAAGTTGGACGGCTTTATCGTCTCAAGTGGCGATGAGGCGTCCGAGATGGATGAGCTCCCTGAATCTGATGAAGATGAACTTGCCGGCGATGTGACAGTCCCATTCATGAGGACCGTTGTCCGAGCTGGAGATTTGGGGGCTAGGTCAAAAGGCGGAAACGACAAAGGTCGCATGGTGAATGCAGTGTTGATTAGCGGACCGTCTGGCTGTGGTAAAACAGCTTCTGTGTATGCCGTGGCAAAAGAACTTGATTTTGAAGTATTTGAAATTAACTCCGGAACTCGTCGGAGTGCAAGAGATATCCTTGAGCGTGTTGGAGACATGACTCAGAATCACCTCGTCAATAATCTCGACAGCAGCAAGGAGGGGATTGAAGATGACTCCAGTCAAGATATCCAGCCTCAGGAGCTTGGTCCCATTGATGCGAAACAGACCACAATGAATAGCTTTTTCAAGGCGACTCCGAGGGATACTTCCAACAGACAAACGCAGAAGAAAGATAAGCAGAAAAAGGACCAGAAACCGGACAAAACTGTTTCCTCGACGGTTTCTCGTCCCCAAAAACAGTCACTGATATTGTTGGAAGAAGCGGACATTCTGTTTGAAGAAGACAAACAGTTCTGGACCGGAGTCATGACTTTAATCAGCCAGTCCAAGCGCCCTATCATTATAACATGCAACAATGAGAACCTCATACCACTTCAGGATCTCTCTCTACATGCCATCCTACGATATCGACCTCCTCCTCATGATCTTGCTGTAGATTACTTGCTCCTCCTTGCCGCGAATGAAGGCCACATGCTGAAACGAGAGGCTGTCAGTGACCTCTATTCTGCCTCAAATCAGGATCTCCGGAGATCAATAATGGAGCTCAGCTTCTGGTGTCAGATGGCTGTGGGCAGCGAAAAATCGGGGCTTGATTGGATTATTGATAGATGGCCTCCAGGTTCGGACCTAGACGTGCATGGTGATCGGCTGAGGGTGATAAGTCTGAATACGTATGAACCCTTTATGGGATGGTTCAACCGTGACATGCTTATGAGCAAGAATGTCCTTGCCCGAGAAACGGAGCTACTGCTTGAAGGGTTGAATTGGTGGCAGCTTGACTTTCAAGACATGCCACACGTTGAAGGATCAAAGTTTCTGGTGTCAGACAACAATCACGTACCTCCTGGTGGACAGGACGCAATGTCAGCCCCTTTCGATTTGGTGCAGAAAGCAGCAGAGCTCGCGGATAGTCAAAGTGTTCTCGATGTTTTCTCTCGCCGCTGGTCACTGAAACAGGAAGAGGTAAGTTGGAAATGTGTATGTTCCGCCTGGTTCATGCTAACTGCGATAGGATGAACTCGACACGTCCGTGCCTGATTTGCCGGAAAAACAAAGATCAAACTATGTGGAAGGCTACCCCTTGATACATGCAGACTGCAAGCCAGACTACACCGGGCTGTCCGCTAGTATCGGGTCAACTGTTGGCGTGTTGATCAGCCATCTCATCTGCGGTGATCATCAAGACAGCGAACGCCTCGCAGTGGAACGCGTGCTGGAAAAGGCTGCCAATTCAAAGATTACCCGTTTCTCTGGGCGAGACTTCATCACAGCATTTGAACCTATTATGCGTGCGGATTATGTATTTCCTCCGCCCACTGGTCGCACCGCACCTTCTTTCGAGAATGGGACCGCGGTGATAGCTGAAGATCTTGCACCATATATTCGAGCGATCATGGCATTCGACCTTCGCCTGGAGCAGTATCGACTTGAACTGAGTGGTTTAATGTCGCAAGGCTCGAGCGGGAAGAGGAAAGCCCGAACAACAAGAGCAAGTCGGGCTGCTCTCGAAGGCGGTGATAAGGCGACTACGCGGAGAGAAAGATGGTTCCCCCGTGACGCAAACCCGTCTCGTATCCTCGCAACCGGGTCCAAGGAGTGGCAGAATGTGCTTGTCCAATATGGACATTTCAATGTCCCATCCATAAGACAAGAACGGAGAGGATCAAGCCATAGTGTGTCTGACAGCTCTGGCGATGGAGGATTTTAAGCTTTATATCGGGAGTGTTGCATGTTTGGGCTGCGAATTTAGCAGATGGCATCTAGAGGGCAATGTTTCTGTTATGTTTACTATGAGCTAGCTAAATTGTGGTGCATGTTTCACTAGAGCAAAATAAAAGTACTAAAAATCAACCATTGATTGTCGATAATGTACAAAAGATTAAAAAGAATAAACCCATAAAAAGGCATCAAAAACTGACCTTACACCTTAAGCTTCAAGCTGCAATAGGCCCTGGAGAGGTAGTACGCTGCTGCGCGTGTTATGGATCTTCCAAGGTTGGTTGCTATCTCGTCTTAGCGCCCCATGCACCGGCGCTACTGATAGTGTCCCACTCCATCCTCTGCGCACCACCTAGTTATCTCTCTCATCCCTGAAGAACAACCATGACCTCTAGCATTTGTACATGAGACAGGTGTGTGCAGTTTTAAATATTACCTATTCGATTTCACTAGTCGTGTGACTGGCCAAGCTGTTTGAAGCTGACCTGGTTTGGTACAGGGTCGATTGCGCGTCTGGGCTGATAAGTCGCGAGCTTAACAGACGCCTCCACCCGGTGACGCAGTTGCTTGATTGCCAACCCTCGAACACCGCCCTCAATGTCTTTGTTTGGTACATCGCCCGAAGAGGCCACCGAGGCCACCTCGAACCGCTTGTCCAAATCATCCCTCTTCGCCGACGAACCTATTTCCGGCGCGAGATCGTCAGGCTCGGCCCTGTTTGCGGATGATGCCGCTGGCGGCGACTCTCCGTGGGACATGCCAACTCCCAAAAGGGCGGCGCGACACGAACTCGTGAAGACAGTCCTCCCTGCTACGGATGTGCCTGAGAGCTATATAGATGCATACGATTCGGTCTTGGCTTCGGGTGATAAAGCCGGCGCAGGTGTCGGCTTGACTGCTGTTAGGGAGATACTCTCTAGCAGCGGCCTGGATCCAAGAGATCAGGCGAAAATCCTGAACCTCGTTGTCCCTGGCGACCAGGAGGATGTGGATGGAATCGGGCGCAATGAGTTTAATGTGCTATTGGCGCTGGTGGGCTTGGCTCAGGAAGGCGAAGATGTGACATTTGATACCGTTGATGAGAGACGGAAAAGTACGTTGGTCCTTTTCTAATCCAGAGGCTTCTGCTAAGATTTCACAGAGCTTCCACAGCCTAGGATTCCTTACTTGGACCAGTTGAGGAACGAAGATAAACGCCCTAGCTCCTCTCAAGAAGCCTCGGCAAGCCCGCCGCCTAAGTCCCAGCCCGAAAATACTTCCACAGAGTCTCGAACCCTGCGACAGGATTCCTTTGGGGTTTCTGAGTCTGATCCATGGGGTAGTCCTGACTTGCACCGCGGGCATAACCATGCCTCCGCTGGTGCCAATGAACCGGCACTGAACGGCTACGGAAGCGTTCGATCCGCCACCAATGGCTGGGCTAATGTGGCCGCTGGATATAACAATCAGACAGAGTCCCAGAATGGAGCACGCTCCAATGGGCAGCCTGCTGGAGGGCCTCCCAGTAGCTCCGGGTCAGGGTGGGACGGGTACAATGGTGGCTCAGGTGCAAGTTTTGGCAATGTCGGGCAACCGGGATTGGGGGGATTTGGACAATCTGGAGATGGACAGGATGGCCCTTCTCAAAGGCGGTCTCTTGGCGGCGGCCGAGTGACGGGATCAGGAGTGGAGGAAGTCATTACGATCAACTTACTTCCGGAGAAGGAGGGTATGTTCATGTTCCAGCATCGCAACTACGAGGTGAAGTCTGCGCGTAGAGGTAGCTCCGTCATCCGAAGATATAGCGATTTCGTGTGGCTGCTGGATTGTCTTCACAAACGATACCCATTTCGCCAGCTTCCACTCCTTCCTCCCAAGAGAGTTGCAGGTACGTTGAAGGCTCAGTGAAGGATGGCCTAAAATTCTGCTCACCTCTTTTTTTTTACTCTTTAAGTCAATGGAACTCACCTTTCAGCCGATTCAAACTCCTTTCTCGAGAAACGTCGCCGAGGACTCGTCCGGTTTGCAAACGCCCTGGTCCGTCACCCGGTGCTCAGCCAAGAACAGCTTGTGGTTATGTTTCTTACTGTCCCAACCGTAAGTCCTGAAAAGTCGTGCGAAGTTTAGGTTGACAGGAGGCACTGACTGTTTGCAGGAGCTCTCGGTATGGCGCAAGCAGGCCACAATATCCGTCCAGGAAGAGTTCACAGGCAGAGTCCTCCCTCCGGACCTCGAAGACTCCTTACCTCCAAACCTCAACGAGCTATTTGATACTGTCCGCGCGGGTGTCAAGCGCTCCGCTGACATCTATATTAACCTCTGCACATTGCTCGAGCGACTGGCAAAGCGCAAGGAGGGGCTCGCGGCCGACAAATTGCGGTTTTCTTTGGCTTTGAAATCTCTGACAGAAGCCACCAGATATGCTTATGCTGTCGACACGAATGATATTCCTTTGCTTAACGAAGGCATCAACGCGACGGCAAGACATCTTGCTACCAGCCAGACCCTTCTCGAGGATGAGGCCAAGGCATGGACCGAGGGAGTGCTAGAGGATCTGAAGCGCCAGAGGGATTGTCTTGTCAGCATGCGCGAGTTATTCGACAGGAGAGATCGATATGCTAAAGACAACATCCCTCAATTGGAACGGCGCATTGAAAACAATGAGAAGAAGCTCCAGGATTTGAGAGCTCGACCTCAGGGGACGGTGAAGCCCGGAGAGATTGAGAAGCTTGAAGAAGCTATTTTCAAGGTACAGATCCCTCTACATCTACTTGAATAACCGGAATTAGTTCCCCGCCGAAGTCAATTTGCTGACGCAGCTACTGTGATACAGGACAAGGAGTCCATCGTGCAGCAGCATGCACGGGGAGTTTTCATCAAGGAGTGCATCCGGGACGAAATTACGTATTTCCAACAGAGCCAGTACCACATTAGCCGGCTGCATCAAGACTGGAGCCAGGAGCTGGTCAAGTATGCCGAGCTGCAAGCGGACAATTGGAGAAGGCTCAGTGATGAGGTAGAAGGGATGCCCACTGGGGACTAAAACCCGGTGATTGAAGCTGCTCGACATAGGTGTCGGTTGCGGAGAACCACATCTTCGCTGCTCTGCTATACTATCGGTTTCTGGTCTGCTGTGAAATGTTTTTGATTGATCTACGTCTGCTTATTATCGGAAAGATGCAAGTTGGATCCAGTCCTGTCACACGACCATCGCTTGACATGTTTTTTACGGCGCCTTTTCCGTTCCATACGGTTGACTTTTTTTTTCTTCTGGGATGTTACTGCTCTGTCAAGATCTGTCATTCGCTGTGCAAGGCAATGAAAGCCCATGACTTGATACCTCGTGCATGTTGTTGTTACCTAGACAATACCAGAATGAACCACAACCTTGGTATCTGGACCGAGTGCATCTCCAAGTATTAATTCTCTCTCTCTCTTTTCTTTTTTTAACTGGCCAGGTCGAGAAGACACCCCCGAGAAAAGTGGAAGACGCATATCCACGTGCACAAATCAAATCAACGGGTCAGATTGGAACACAATCGGTGAGACCTGACAGGGCGCTAGGCCGCTAGCAGCCTCACATTATTCCCGACTCGGAACTACCTTAGGTCCTAAAACTCCGGCAGCAGGGGACTGGGAGTTCCAGGAAAGAGAGTTCTAGGCCCGGTAGAAAGACGCCAGAAAGTTCCAATGGATCAGGTGATTGATTAGTTGGTTACCTAGGTAGTTAGTCAGTTAGTTAGTAGGTATTTTTTTTCCCCTACGGTCTCGAAGCGAATCGAATCTGGGGTAAAATTAGCTAGGTCTGGCGGGAGTTGGTTTCAATTGCCGCCGAGGTGATTTATGCTTAGCTGTGACCAGTGCGTCAGGGTGCAGCAGCCCGTGACCTAGAGGCTAGGTACTGTACTATACGGAGTACGGAGTACTTGTACCGTACTATTCCAGCAGAGTAATAATTGATCACGGCGCAAGGATTCCTCTCTATACCGTGTATGTACACTTCTGTACATATTAAGAAAAGAAAAGAAAGGAATAGAATAGAATAGAAGAAAAAAAAGTCAATGGTCAATGCTATCTATCAAATACAGTAACCATGTAAGTAAATGCGTGGCGGGAATTGCGGGATGCGGGGAAAATCCGTCCCTGACTTACGGAGTAAAAGACTCACGAACGACCTCGCATTGATCCCTTCAAGGCCCTACCTACCTACCCAGTTCGCTTAGTTTGACCGCTTAGTCTGGTTAACAATCAATCAGAATTGTTTTTTTCGAGATTTGTGGGGGTGTTTTTGCCGCTGTAGCCGCGATTAGCAATTTTTCTACTTTTCGGTAGAAAGTCGTTTTGGTGTGTCCGCCAGTTGATCCATGGCATTGTTTACGGAGTATAACAGAGCAGTTATGGGTTATGTGTGCAGTAGCTCCCTGGCAATTCTGTCCAGCAGTGGTGGTGGCCACCAATGCCCCGAGTCTCGTGACCTGTATATTATACAGCATGCTATCTCGCATGTCGCGTGCAGCCTACATACACGTCGGAGGCGGCGAATGCCCAGACGCAGGAAAGAAAGCATGGCTGCCATGCTATGCCAAGCGCATGCAGGCGTCATACAGTACATCCCACCGACAGTACGCGCTTGGCCGTGGCTGCACCGCGAACAATACGCATCCAACGTGCTGGGCAAGGATTGGGACAATATCATCCGCAGCCTGGCTCGGGACGTCTCTTCATTTTCCCCAGCATACTGATCGTTGAGCATGTCAGTGATGTCTGTGGCTTGCCTCACTAGACACAATGCGGCTAGCTCCTTCCGGTCGGCGTCGGCCACTCGGCGGTCCGCACGCAACACGGTAAAGTTGCTTCGGCCTTCAGCCTTGTGTCCAAGACCCAAGAAACTTTATGAAACGCCCCATCTGTGGGGACAAACAATTCGATTAAGACAACTCCATCTCCGCCCTTGCCTGGTGACTCGTCATGTCCAAGACCCCGGGTGTCCTGTAGGATTCCGGAGTGGGGAGTCTGGACTCGGCACGGAGGGCGGGCTACCTACGGAGTACGGTAATCGGAATACCGGTTTCGTGACGGCTGACCGCTCCATGCAGCATGCGGGCGTGATCTGCAGCCCGGAAGATGCCTGGAGACTACATGCGGAAGCAGCAGTTCGGAGCCTCCATTCGTTCATATTCTACTCCGGAGTAATGTTCAACACGCGCGGAGTAGGCACTTTTGCTCTTTCTTTGATTACGATTTCTTGGCTGGATCTTTTGCCACGCCACGCCTGCCCTCGCTGACTGGGCAATAATAAACTAACTCGGCCAGTCCCAGCAAGTCGATGATTGCGCGCCCGCCTCCGCCAAGACCGTCAAACCTTCCCATCTGCAGCCGTTCGTCATTGTCCCCGGCGGAGATTATTTCTTTTCCGATCGTACTGAGTCCACCAGCCCAACGCCGACCTGTCGACCATCTCCAACCGTTCCCACTCCTGGCAATCCTTTCCCCGCTGCCGTTTGATCCGCTTCCAGCTTCACTTGGCCCGGTCCAGAAATTCTTACGGGCGATCAGACGCGCTCAACCCAAATCCTACGTCGTTGGCCGCCTGCTCTCCGCCGGAAGCAAATCAGGGCAAATCGGTGGGCTTTATATATTCCCCGACCCCCCTTCGTCCCTGCCATTCTTATCATTTCCCTTCCAGAGCTTATCTGACCGTTATCCGCTCGGGCAGATTGGCCATTCGGGTCGTCGACTCGCCCGGCCAGCGCAGATCCTTCCTCCTCTCCCCTCTTCCACCACCCTCATCGTTGGGGATCCGTTCGTTTCCATCTATTTCAACTCTCGTCAACGAGGAAAGAATCCTCGAATACCAGCTCCGTACACGTCTGTGTTCCGTAGCGCTGGATAGACGATAGATATGCCGCAGTGCGTTTGGGGAGTTGGGAGGCAGAGCCGGAACCTGGTCCTTGGCACGATCAAGCCCGACAAGATAGTGTTCAAGTGAAGGATCAGCCAAATTCACAACAGAAAGAAGACAAGCAGGTAGTGGTTGAAGGTGCGACGCATCTGTCTGGCAAGCCGTCATGGCCTGGGACCAGCTCGCCATTGACAAGCCCCATGTGGCGTACATGATCCTGGGAGGCTTCACCTCCCTTTTCATGTTATGTTCTCTTTTCGTCAAGGAGAAGCTGTACATCGGCGAGGCCTCGGTTGCAACCCTCTGCGGTATTATCTTTGGTCCCTATGCCGCCAACCTCTTCAATCCAGACTCATGGGGTAACGTCGACAAGATCACGCTCGAATGTTCCCGTATTGTCTTGGTGGTGCAATGTTTCGCCGTCGGAGTCGAATTGCCCAAGGCGTATATGGAGAGACACTGGAAATCGGTGACCCTGCTCCTAGTCCCCGTCATGACCTGGGGTTGGTTGGTGACCAGCCTCTTCATCTGGTGGATGATCCCGCCGCTCAGTTGGCTCGAGAGTCTGGTATGCGCAGCATGTGTGACGGCCACCGATCCCGTCCTGGCCTCCTCGGTCGTCGGCAAGGGTAAATTTGCCAAACGAGTCCCCAAGCACTTGAGGGATCTTCTGTCCGCTGAATCGGGCTGCAACGATGGCATGGCCTTCCCCTTCATCTACCTATCCCTGTACATTCTGCGCTACCGCCCCGACTCCAACCAGGTCGCCTTTCACTGGTTCTGTAACACAATTCTCTATGAATGCATTTTTGGTGCTATCTACGGCTTTATTCTGGGCTACATCGCGCGTCACGCGATCAAGTTCGCCGAGAGGAAAAACTTGATTGATCGCGAAAGCTTCCTGGTGTTTTATTTCGTGCTGGCCCTCTTCTGCGCTGGGTCAGGCAGTCTCCTGGGGATGGATGATCTCCTGATCGGATTCTCCGCCGGCGTGGGCTTCAGCAATGACGGATGGTTTACCGCCAAAACCGAAGAGTCGCATGTGTCCAACGTGATTGATCTGCTCCTCAACTTGGCCTACTTTGTCTATTTCGGTTCGATCGTACCTTGGAGCTCATACCATGCTCCCGAGATCGGCCTCCACCCGTGGAGGTTGGTTGTCATTTCCATTCTCGTCATCTTTTTCCGTCGCATACCGATCATGATGATCTTGAAGCCAATCATACCGGATATCAAGACGTGGCGAGAGGCGCTCTTTGCTGGGCACTTTGGCCCTATTGGGGTCGGTGCAATATTCGCAGCGATCCTGGCCAGAGCGGAGTTGGAAAACTGGTCCACAGAGCCTGTGGCTAATTCGGAGCTTCCTCAGCCCGGTCAACCCAACTACTATATCGTGCAACTGATATGGCCCGTCGTGACCTTTATGGTCATCTCGTCCATCATTGTTCACGGCTCTTCCATTGCCGTCTTCACCCTTGGAAAACGCATCAACACGCTGACAATCACTCTGTCATATACCACCGCCAACGAGGAGGGACCGTCTTGGATGAACCGCCTGCCCCGTCTCCAGTCCTTGTCAAAGAGCTCCTTGTCACTCCGGAAAGCGGATTCATCGATGTCGGAAGGCGAACAGCCTGAGTTTCCTCCCGGTACATTGCCGCCTCTTGGCATCCCGGGCAACTTCCTTCGCCGTGTCAGAGAAGAAGATGAGCAATCTGGAAAGAGAACGCCGAGCTTGCGACCGAGACGACGACGTCGCAAGCGTGTTGAACGCGCCGGCGGTCCCATCAGCCAATCAGCCATTACCCCTCAGAGACGTCCGGAATCCATGCCCCCTCCTGAAAAAGGAGGCGAGGTCGAACCGAGCAGTTCGGAAGCAGAAAAGGAGCGCGAAGAAAGGGACAAAATCGACCGAGAGAGCTCGCCCCCAGGCGCAGAACGTGAGAAATTTGGAAGGGAGCCTGAGCTTGAAGTCTACCAAGAAGGTGACAAGGTCATCATTGAAGATGAGGAAGGAAATGTCCTGAAGACGGATGACGTCTGTCACGAGTCGCCAGAGGAGCAACGGCATCAGCTACTGGAGCAACATAAGAGGCTACAGAGAGACGAGTCGGGTGAGTTTGCGAAGTCGAAGAGTCAACCTCACGGGAAGACGGAAGGTGAAAAAGTACAAAAGGTTGTTGGAGAAAAGACGGGCTATCGGAAGATGAAACAGCGTCTTGGAGAATGGGCTGGCTTTGGAAAGGAGAAGCAACCACCACCACCACCACCACCACCACCACCACCAGAGGCAGGTCCATCGGAAACCCGACGGAAGAAACCCCCTCGTCAGTCGGCCCACGCGTACCAGTTTGGCAACACCATCATTGTCGAGGACGAAGATGGCGAGGTCATCAAGAAATATACCATCCCCACTGATGATGAGAAGGATACGGAAGTGACTCCAGCGTCAGCTGCAGAGTCCCAGGTACGGCGAGGCTGGTCACGGATGGGCACGTGGGTCGGAATGGGCGAGAAAGAAGGAGAATCGTCGAAGCATGGCCAGAAGAAGAAGAAGTCAGAGGACGAAGAGGACGACGGTCTGCGGTTCATCCTAAAGCACGATCCTGCTGTCGAAGAGAGAGGTGTTGGTTATCGGGGCAGGAGGATGAGCAAGCAGGACTTCATCAAGGAAATCAAAAAGCTGGACGCCAAGGCTCGCCACAACATTGTTGAGGAAACGGATGTGCCAGCCCAGGTCAAGAAAGTTGCTCATGAGGAAGCACGGTTGCAAGAAAAGGAGGAGCAGGAGCAAAGACGCGAGTCTGAGGATTTTGAGGGAGAAGATGATTCGGCGGACGAAAGTTCTGTTACGGATGAGTCCGATCGCGACGTTCCCACGCACGATGCCAAATATTCCAGGGGCTCGGCAGCGCAGGAACGTCGGCGGCGTCTTGGCGCAACGACCGCTGGCGACTCGGACGACGATGGCACGGAGCGGATTCCGCCTGCTCGTCGGTCGCGTCCTGCTGGTCGATCCGATGATTTGGATACCGGCGAGACGCCAGCGGAACGGAAGCGACGTCTGGCCGCGCTGGGACAGATTGAGGTTCCTAGCGACGAGGACGACGACGAAGAGGCAGAAAAGGCAGGGCTTCCTCGGCGTCCGAAACGTGCATTGGTGCGGGAGCCTGACAGCGAAGATGACGGCGAGCCGCGGGCTGTCAAGGGCACGATCCAGTTTGCAGACGGCACGCGACCTGCAAAACGCAAGGGTGGTGCGGGCCAAGTCGTGACCTCCGCGGCGGGGGCCAACGACAGCGGTAACAGTAACAATAACAATAACGGCAACGGAAGTGGATCCTCCAGGAACAACGGACATGGAACTCGTCAGAGGGTTTCATGGGGAGGAGAGAGAGGAAGAGATCTGTAAATTGGTCTGTATTCATATACAGCTTTACTTTCTCTTCGCTTTCCACATCCAGAGCAGAGATCAGAGATTTTGAAGGGAACATGGGAATGATGAACGATGATGAACGATGATGAACGATGAACGAACGAATGACGAGAGATTGTACTCATTGTATTTATTTATTTATTCACTTTGCTTGCTATTATCATGATTACCCCGTTGTTTGCTTTTTTTTTTCGGGGGACTTACCTAGCTAAGTCTCCGCTTTGTGCGCATGATGTTCGAGATACCTACCTCGTTGCGCTGATTCGACAGTACAGTACATACATCAGTGTGATTTTTGCTTTTTGTATGTATGTATGTATGTGTGTATATATGTACTGTTGCTACCATCAATGAATGAATCAATCGATCAGACAGATGTGTAAAAATAAAATAAATGAAATGAGCAGTAACTATTATATGTACTTACTTACCGTGACCTTTTCTTTTTTTTGATCTACAATAATAGCAATGTAAGATAATGAACCACATCAGATCAGACTTGACTGAACTCGACTGAACTGAATGAATTGAATTTTCAATTTAATTTCCTTGAAGTGGATCAAATCAAATCAATTCAATTCAATTTCCTACAGCACCATTCATGAATTCAGTCAGAATTTTTTAAAAGAAAAGTAGACTGAAGCAGTTCAATTCAATTCAATTCAATTCCCATAGACCATAAGAAAAAGGAAGAAAAAAAAAAGGAGCTCCTCTCCTGTTGATTCATTACCAGGGAAGAAGAAAGGAAAAGGAAAAGGAAAAGTTGGGGTTGTTGGGGGGGAAAAAATAGATAGACAGATGAAATGAAGAATGAAGAATGAATGGTGAATGGTGTCAATCGGAACGGAACAGGTACATACATGGATATCGAATCGAATAATCAAATAATCGAATCGAGACGAGACGAGATTTGACGCCACTTACAACCGAGGAGATGAGGAGATGGATAGGTTGATAAGAAAGAACATGGGGGAGTTAAAAAGAAAATAAAAAGAACCGCAATTTTTGATTGATGTCGCCTCTCTTTTGTTTTTATTTCCCCTGTGTGTTTGTGCGTGCACATCCCATGTTGCAAGAAAAAGTCAAAAAAAGAAGAGTCAAATCAATCATTCATGAAACCCCATATCAAACAAAGAAAAGAAAGCCATATGTATCATGACCCCGCGACGTTAAAAAAGACAAGAAAGTAAATAAGGAAAGTCGACTGGCCAGGCAGACAGCCCTCTGGACAACTGTCATAGCACTCCACCTGGTAGTTGTATCTGGCTCTGCGGGGGTTTGTTTTCGAATCCCGCACTGTTGGGAGCGGATCCACCCGTTCCGCCCGGGTATGCTGCTGGGTTGGAACCGTCGATGGGTTGCGCGTGCTTGCGAAGCATAAACATGGGTTTCTTCCCCTCCTTGTCAAGCTGCTTGAATAGAATCAATGGCTTTTCGTCCAACCCCAGGCAGCGTTCTTGGTCGCCATAGACGATGTACAGAGCATACTGTCGCCAGTCCGCATTGATGTTGTATTTCTTCAACGCAGCGGGAAGGACTTTATGACATGGGTCATCCATGGAGACCCGGAACGATTTGAAGATCTCAACACTAGGCGCATTCGACTGCTCACTGCCTCCTCTCGTCTCGGGTCGAGAAGTCCCACTTGGGGGATCTGTTCGAGCCGAGGTCGAATTCGATTGTGGGGGATCGTCGCCATGATCGTGATTGGAACGGCCAGTGGAATTGCTAGACTTCCCTTCTCGAGTGTATGAGCGTGATGCGAGTGTTTGCTGTGAGAAGTTCCCGGGGGATGTGGGCGACGGCATGCCGGGTGACAGCTGGCCTCCCCCATTCGCCGATGCAGTGAGATGAGAAGAGGCTGCCGCCGAGGGATCCAGATTGGCACCATCGTTGTAGGCTCGTCCGTCATGCGTGGATTGAGGGAGATGGGTCGGGGAATTATTGTTCTTCGGAGTCGTGCCTCCGTTGTATACTCGTCGCGAGTGGGACCTTGCCAGACCTCCGGTCTGATTCGTGGCAGGGGACGTGACAGCATCATGATCGCCCGTGGGTTGGTATGGAAGCGGTTGGGAGCGGTCCTTGGCCATCTTAAACACCGGCAGCAATTCTTCCCGCAATCGCCGATAATCCTCGGTGACTTTGCGCAGCTCCGCCTCGACAGCCATCAGTCGTTCATCTCGAGCGCGTATTGATTGCACAATGCGAGCAATGTCCTCATGGGTGGCAGTCTCGTGGAGGCTTTGATCCGCAGCTGCACATCCCTCACATTAGCATGATTCACGGCGGGCGGGGGAAGGCACA